AATTTCGTATCGGATGCAAATTTAAAAACAAGATAATGCATTGAATAATAAGTGTTAGTGCACCAAACAATTATCAGTGTGTGAGGTTAATTAATTCCCCCCAGGTGCATACCAATAAGATGATCGTGCATGAAGTAATTTATTGTCGTGCATTAGTGGGTGATTGAAATAACCAAAAAACACAAGTACACAACTCAAAGTTGAAATAATAGATCTATGAATTAAAATCAATACAAATTGCAAGATCAAATATATTGAATACAAGCCCCAAATAAAAAGAATGAAAAAATGTATGTAATCAAATTAATATACATATTAGAAAGAGAGAGCGAACAAAAAATATATTCATGTATATTGAACAACAAGTGTTAATTCCAAGGTTGTCATTGACACCCTCCGATGCTACCTTGCTGTTCAAATTTCAGAGACGACGATATCCTATAATGACTTCATATGCAATGACAATAAATAAAAGTCAAGATCAATCTTTGTCCCGCGTAGGGTTGTTGAAAAACCCTGTATTTACTAACAGACAGTTGTACGTTGCAGTCTCAAGAGTGACCAATCGGCGTGGTTTGAAAATTTTAATATGTGATAAAGATAAAGAAACCATTGACGAGACTCAGAATGTTGTATTTAAAGAAGTGTTTAACAATATCTAATGGGGTTGCATCAAATTAAATTTTACAGTGTAATAACACTAGTGAATAACACTGGTGATTATATTTGATGTCGTCATGTTGTTATATAATGCTTAGTACTCTGTTCGTTTGCATATAATAAATTTACATGTGTGCAAAGCATTTGCTTGTTTTTATGAATTATGTTAATGTGGGTGTATTAAATATATCAAATTGCTACGATTGAAAATTGTTGGAAATACGATGAAATATATTATTTTGAGGAGGTTTGTTTATAACTCCTAAGATATAATTGTATAAATATGAATTGGAGAAGAAGGCTTATTATATATCAAAGAACAACTAACATGTTTGGATTATTTCATCAATTGAATAGAATCCATAATTGTACATGTTGTAAAGTCATATATTTATAAATTGAATTTAGTTGTCATTATATAAAATAAACAGCCTCATTTTTGTGATAAGAAACATTACTATTGTTTTAGTATCACATAAAACTTGAAATATTTTTTCCGGACATGCTCAAGTAGCGTTTGGATGAATATAGTCATTTGGAGGCGTTAATTTTTGGACACAAATTCTGCGTTTTAATAAACCTCAACCTCTTCGTTATACTTTTCTTAAAAATTAAGGAATATGCAATTTGGTGGGACCAAATTAATTTGAAATGTAATTTTCGAATTAGATATAGTACGTGGTATGGGATAATACTGATTTGAATTTTTTATTTCAAATTGTTTTACTTGGTCAGGATAGCTACTAGGCCTATCCGAATTATCTGGCACGTGCCTTAGTTGTAGCTATAGGATCACCAACTGCTTAGCAATTCTAATTTATACGGAGTATTATACAATATATATTTAGAAATAAAGTCTAATTTCCTAGCTAGAGCAATTGGCCTCACACGCAGTTCACTTATAAACAAAGTCAGTTTACCCTCTTGAGTGCTTAGTGATAAAACATACACTTACACCTCCCAACATATACTCCAGTAACTATTCCTTTGGGTTACTTGGTCAGCAACTTTCATTTCGATTTTAATCTATAGTTCAAACTTCATTGGCTCATCTCATCTAAATTGCCATCGGGCAACGGTCGAAGTGTTTCTGTCAAGCAAGCTAAAGGTCTAAAACAGAGATAGGATTATCATGGAAGCGAGTTGGCCAGTCCCGTTCGAGTAGCTAACGAGATACGGGCTATCTTTCTTCAAGGTCAGTCTAGTTAACGGACGATTTTACAATAAGTCTTTCTTTCTCTACTTTTTATATTAATATTTTAATTCTAATTACTGTTTCTATTTATTTGTTCTTGCATTTGGTGGGGAGCTATCTTTCTTCAAGGCCAGTCCGGTTAACGGACGATCCTACACTAAGTCTTTCTTTCTCTAATTTTTATATTAATATTTTAATTCTAATTATTGTTTCTATTTATTTGTTCTTGCATTTGGTGGTTTGTCTGGTGATTTGTGATTAAACTCGAGTTTTTATCCGACTAAACTTGCCATCTAAATACTATTTTTGTAACAATGTTGTCCCCGAATAAGTATATTCGTCTTATTATTTGCCACAACGGATATACACAAAAAAAAAATCTTCCATCGTGCATCGCACGGGTGAGTTACTAGTTTAATAAGAAGAGGAAGAGAATTGAATAATGAATTGATGATCTTTTTTTAGTCGCTATAAAAAAAAATAGTGAAATCTTGAAGATTTTTAGTACGGCGCAATTAATAAGTATGTACTTCAACGGTTAAGAAAAAAACTATGTTCCCTAAAAAAAACTATGTTCCTTAAAAAAGCAATTATGTCGACACATTTGAATTGGTCAAAAAAGTATGCTCTGCAAGCAATTCCGCATTAATTGCTACTCCGTTCGACCTAAGGCACAATGGCGGACCCAGTAAGGATCCCATGGGGTCTCGGGACCCGTGGATTCCGAAAAAATTACTTATGTATATTACATAATTCTTACAAAATTTACCTATATATGACATGTATATATAAAACATATGCGACGTAAATAACAAATTGTTGTAGCGGAGAAATGGCAGCTTGCGCACTTGTAAAGCCTTACTGACCCTGAGGTGCAGGGCTCGACGCCTCCCCATGCTATTCATTTTAAAACATCAAAATGATGTCCTTTTATTCAATTTTTTAAATCCCTTCCAAACGCAGACCATCTGCGTATCTCCATTCATACCTCAACCACTTCTTATTAATTTAGTTTTTTAATTAATTATAAAATTTCTTTAAATGTTAAGATTAAATTAAAAAATTATGTATTCATGAATGTTTTTTTTTTTAATTTTATGATTAAGGATTAAAAGATATTTCGGTAGTGTACCCATATTGAAAGAAATTTGGTGTAACGAGAGTAGTTAAGATATTAATTCAAATGATTCACCTTTAGTAAATAAAGAATTGGATCTAGTGAAACTAATTTGGCCTATAATCTACATGAACAACATGCTGAATTCATCCTAATGTTTTAGACGAGGTACATCATAGTTACTTCAACCTCGGGATCATGATTTCCCTATTAAAGTAATTGAGGGACTAAAAACGTAGATTTATTTCAAGTTGGTTTGATGAGCATAAATGGTTTGAATACAACATTGCCAAAGATGCTTCATTTTGTTTACCGTGTTATTTGTTTAGGAATGAGTGGGAAATTAGTGATAATCATTTTGGGAATAGGATTTTCAGCGTGGATTAAAAAAGATAGGTTTATGTACACGTTGGCGGACATGTATATTATAGAATATTTCCAACAAATGAATCCTAGGAGGAAACTTTTGTAGGATTGTTTAATTTAGGGACCCCGTGACTCTGATTTTCTGGGTCCGCCGGTAGAGCTTGTGAATACTCCGGTAGAATTGTGATTTGTGCTACTCCGGTAGAGCTTCAAAGTTGTGTGACTAGCAGGAAGTGTTTGCATTTACTAAAGTTGAAAAGAGTGTTTTCAAATGACAACTTTTGTTTAAATTAAAAAAAATAAAAACTAAAAGCTAAAAGCATGGAAAGGTGCTAGGAAGAAGATTCTTAAAAGTTATATCCAGAGTTTCAAAGATAAGGAATTTCAACGACAGTTGACAGTCCCTGCTCTTTGAAGACCAATCGTCCGGAGCGAGGTAAACCCTAACACGTTGATGTGTTTAAGTGTCATTGCAAATCGATGGTAAACGGCTTACTAATCCATCCAGAATTGTGGTGATTAAATGCTAAGTTGTTAAATGGTTGATGGGTCGTGGGTACTAGATACATGAAGTGGTCAGGTAATAATACTACATATTAGTGTTATGTGTGTAAACCAAGAATAATTAAGATGTCATAGAAAAGGTACGCTGGCACTAGAAAATGGTGATATTGCATTTTGCAAAGGTTTTCCTGCCATCGAGCTTCTTTATGATGCCATGCATTATTCAGCACACTAGTAAAATATCCAATATGATAACTGTGAAAGAAGAAAGGAAGAGGAGAGCTAGAAGGTGTGTCACAATGACGCATTTTCGCATCACCAAATTAGCCATCACGGTTGCTTTCCTCAATTATATTTCAATATCTTTTAATTAAATTTCAACCGTGTATTGGCTAGATCTCCAAGCAACTCGGCTTGGTCAGGGCCCTATAGAATAGATTGAAGGATGAACACCCTGATATTTCATAATACCCAAACCTTCAAAATCTAGCACTAATCATGCTTAAACTCTCTTTCTGAATTATGTGTACAGCGTTTCAAAATAGACTGGGATAAATTTGACTACTTGTTCCAAAGTCATGATTTGGCTTGGTCGGCACCTCTCGATCGATGAAGACATGACCAATGAGGAGTTCGCCTGCCTGATACTCCATGCCATTGACAAGCACAATGAAGAGAAGAATGTGAGAGATTTATATTCCATTCATGATATTAATAGTTTTTCATTGAACGTGTATACTTTTTGCCTGTCTTTGAAAATCGTAAAAGGGAAATGCTGGAAAACAAAAACCTTTTATTGATACACAGTTACACACAAAACATTTGTACATGCAAGGGCGGAGCCAGGATTTGACGATAGGGGGGCGGGTCAAGAATGAACACAAGCAATAAAATGTATATACTACGTATACTTCGAGCTCGAAACAAAACCTTATATATAGATTTATTTTTTCACTAATTAAAGATGAGTTAAGTAATAAATTTAAAATTATATATATGATATTTCTATCAACCATATTAATAATACTATGTATCACTTTAATTTAATACTACATATAATATATATTATTATAAAGTTTATATTGCATGTATATTAACATATAACTATCCATACACAACTAAATTATCAAGCAAGTACTAAAAAATTACAAATGAAAAGGAAACTGAAGAAAACGGTTAGCAACACAAGAGGGGGGGGGGGGTGAATTGTGTGTGTGTGGAACCGTGGCAGTTTTTCACCGAGTTCTGGTGTGTGGGATAAAGGGAATTGCAAAATAGTAAAGTGCACAAGAATTTAACGAGGAAAAATCCCTTGGCTCAAAGGGATTAAAAAAACCTCGACCTCCCTCGGAGGAATTTTAAACAACTTCACTAAACAAGCCTTTGAAAGAGTTACAAGAGTGATTCTCCTAATCTACCCTTGAGCCTCCCCAACTCTATCCTCTCTAGGAAGAGTTATGCATCTCTACCTTGCGGGTAGAGAGCCTCTCAGCTTTATCACAAAGCTCTCACACACACTTAACCCGAGGCAGCTGCTCTAGCCAATTAAGCCTCAATAATCCAAGTACAATATGAAAGGGAAAAGAAAACTCTATCTAGAACTCAGTGAGCAGGTTCAGGAGCCTTGGACTTGATATCTTCTTTTGGTATTCCTCTTGATTCGACTTTCTCTTCACGGTCAAGCCTGCTATTTGATCTTCAGTCCGTTGTATATATAGTACTTTTTGTAACGTTCACTTGCTCTTCAATTTGACAACTTGGACTTTCCTAGTTATTTTGAATGGCCTTCCTTGTATAACATTTCTCACCTTTTGAGCTATGAATATCCGTTAGTCAAAATAATGCATGCATCGACAAAGGGGATATATTAGCCAAGGGATTTTCTTACCTAACTAATCAAGAAAGCAATGGTATATACTAGCACATATTTTTCTAGCTATTAACGTGTTTTAATTATGAAAGGTAGATCTATTGGCATGGTAAGAAATATTGAATAATGTCTTGGTCAAACAAATCATACGAAAGGTAAGAAAATAGAGTTTCCTATGGTGTGTTCAATAGGAAACACTTTTATTTATTCATTCCAAATGCTACGGTCAACTAATGCAGATATGGCAAGAGAATATTCATTGGAGTATTAAACCAGATAAATTAGAGTACGTAAGGTCTGACAAGACATGCAAACTGGAATATTTAATCAAGGTAGTTCAGCCATTTGTCTAGAACCCGTCGTGGTTCCAGTTAATCAGTTCACCTGCAAGTTAGTGATAGAAGAGGTCTCCCTGTTGTTCCTCTATTGGTTAGTCATCAACAAAAATAACTTTTGCAACAAATTCCCCCTTTTTGTTGATGACAAACCACAGGTGCCTGCATCTTAGAAGATGTAGTAACAATAGATATGTTATAACAGTTTAATTGTAGCAAAATAAGCACCTAGGGAGCACCTGGTTGTTTTTTCCCCCTTTTGGCATCAACCAAAAGGAAACAGGAACCAACCGAAACAGTGTCTAGTACAGAGTTTTTAAAAAAAACGAGCATAAAGAAGACAAATCAAAGTCATACGCCCCCAAGCCAAAGAGTGAGAATTGCTTTGTAGTTATTCTTCGTCTGAGGAGAAGACGATTCTTCTATCCACGGGGTCAGAGTCTCCACTCTTTAGGCAAGCTTCCTTTTTGAAGGATTGGAGGTCATTGTGAATGATAGCTTGTGACTCGGCCAGGGCATCGACCTTTTTTTCCAAAGCCGAGACTGATTTGGAAAGAGAAATGAACTGTTGCTGAAGGGAACGCTCCATTTGGGTCAGATGGTCCTTGATAAGGGTGACAACCTGCATTGGGTCGTGAGAGGGTGTTGGAACAGGTTTTGGTTTGGTTTTTTGATCGGATGGAACAGGGAGAGACTCCTTGGGAACGAGTTTGGAGTTGGTAAGGACAATTCCAAGGAGATTAAGACATCTTTTATCCAGGACCTTATTTGCACCTTCGGAAGGAAAGTCATCTACCGCTATGTTCCTTTTCTGGAAGATTTTTGTGAGGAGAGGTGCATAGGGAATGCCATTCCCTCTAGAGGAGGAGCTGATGGTAAAGCTTAAGTGAGCCATCATCAGGCCGGGAAGGTTGATTGGAACCTTGGTGGCTAAAAGATACATGTATGCTAACTCGGCTCTAGAGGGTGAGGAACGTCCCTCAAGCCTGGGAATGAGGTTTTGGTGAACGAAATAAAACAGAATTTTATGGACTGGGGATAAGCTTGCTACATGGAGAGAGGAACCAGAAGTGGTTGGATTAAAGTACTGAAGCGCTGCTGTTTGAGACACATTGGGTAAGGGCCAATCAGTTTTATTATAAGGGCATTCACCAGTGCTGGGAATGCCGAGAATCAACCCTAAATCCTCAGCGTCTAATAGGATTTTTGTTCCCTGCACCCTGGAAGACATCACTCCATCACTGATGATTAATCTGGCTAAAAATTCAGAGACAAGTTCCGGGTATACCGAGCAGCAGTTCTTGGAGTCATACAGGGTATTCCATTGTTGGAACGAGATAAGGTCAACGAAATCTGTTGTTTTTCGAGTGAATTCATCAGAAGATAGAGTGAGTACCTTAACCATTGCACGATTTATGTACTCTTCCTTGAGTCTAGCTGCATCTTCCTCTGCAACCTTGCCCAACTTAGGGTATCTTTTAGCAGACCCGTCAGGAGGAGTGGTTCCCATGGCCTTGCTTTGTGTAAATTTCTGGGGAAGAGCTTTGCGTTTCCTCACCAAGGGCTTTGCCGTGTTCGGTATTGGGCGAGGACTTGCATGTTGTTCTTCGGGTGAGGATTCGACTTCGAAGTTGAGTTCCCCCTGAGATGAGGACGGTCCGATTTTCTGAGAGTCTGGTGGTTTTGGGTTTCGAGCCTCAACGATGGCGAGATTTGAGGGATTTTGCTCCATGACAGTTGAGGTGGTGTCGAGGTCTATGAGTGTTGGTGAAGAGGAGGGAGGCTTGCGGCTGATTTGTTTTCGGCTTGAGCGCCGAAGTGGGGCTGAAGGAGCACCGCCCCTCGTTTTAACCATGGAGGTTGAGAGATGGAGAAGATTTTGAGAGGAGATGGGTTTGGTAAGTGGATCGGCCAGGTTTGGCAATTAAATCAGGAGGGGATCCCCTTTTTGAATTATGATTTTAGAATTAAAGTCCCAACTCATCAAGAATTCGGTAATTGTACACCACTTTTAGATTAATAAAAATATTCACTTACCAAAGATGGGAAAAAGAATCTGCGTTAGAGAAAAAAAAATTGAGACCAATAAAAATGAGACAAATAAAAATAAGATACATTATTATTTTATTTTAAGAAGTAATTAGGCCAAGCTCAAGTCTAATGATTTCAAACCTTTCTCTTCCCAGTGGTTTGGTGAAGATGTCCGCAATTTGCTTATCAGTATTGCAATATTCCAGTCTGATTAATCCCTTTTCTACGCAATCTCTCAAAAAGTGATGTCGGATATGGATATGTTTTGTCCGAGAATGCATGACTGGATCTTTTGAGATGCTGATTGCACTTGTATTGTCACATAAGATTGGTGTGCATTTCAAATCAACTCCATAATCGCTTACTTGTTGCATAATCCATAGTGATTGGGAGCAGCATGATGCGGCAACTACGTACTCGGCCTCCGCGGTTGAGAGTGCTATTGAATTTTGTTTCTTAGAACTCCAAGAAACTAGACAAGGACCCAGGAAGTGAGCAGTTCCAGACGTACTTTTTCTATGTAGTAGATCACCTGCAAAGTCAGAATCTGAATATGCAATTAGTTCAAAGTTCTCATTACGAGGATACCATAGGCATAGATCAGCAGTTCCTTTGAGATATTTGAGGATCCTTTTCACAGCCTTGAGGTGAGATTCCTTGGGATTAGCCTGGAACCGAGCACATAGACCTACGCTAAAAACAATGTCAGGTCTACTGGCAGTGAGGTACAGTAAGGACCCAATCATTCCTCGATACATCTTTTGGTCTATGCTCTTTCCTTGTTCATCCGCATCCAGCCTATCATTTGTTCCCATAGGTGTAGTCATGGTTTTGCCTTCACTCATTCCGTACTTCTTTAGGAGTTCCTTGAGGTACTTTTGTTGAGATATTTGAGTTCCTTTGCTTGATTGCTTGATTTGTAGGCCAAGGAAGAAATTAAGTTCCCCCATCATACTCATCTCAAATTCGGAACTCATAAGATTAGAGAATTCATCACAAAGAGAATCGTTAGTAGCACCAAAAATAATATCATCAACATAAACTTGAACAACCGATAGTGCTTGATCTTTTATTTTTAGAAAAAGAGTTTTATCTATTTTTCCTCTTTCAAAACCATTTTCCAAAAGAAATTTAGATAGGCGTTCATACCAAGCACGAGGTGCTTGTTTGAGGCCATAAAGTGCTTTATCTAATTTGAAAACATGATTAGGAAAATCTTGATTTTCAAAGCCCGGTGGTTGTTCTACATATACCTCTTCCTTTAGATATCCATTCAAGAAGGCCGTCTTGACATCCATTTGGTGGAGGGTGAAACCCATATGAGCCGCAAATGCTATGAGCATTCGGATTGCTTCTAGTCTAGCCACCGGTGCAAATGTTTCGTTGAAGTCTATTCCTTCTTGTTGGTTATAACCTTTGACAACAAGCCTAGCTTTGTTCCTTGTGATTTGACCATGTTCATCGAGCTTGTTCTTGAATACCCATTTGAGACCTATCACAGTCTTGTTCTTGGGTCTCGGTTCTAGATGCCACACCTTATTTCTTTCAAACTGATTTAGTTCTTCCTGCATGGCTAGAACCCAGTCAGTGTCGGAGAGAGCCACTTCATGGTTCTCCGGTTCTATAAGAGATAAATAAGCAGAGAAAGCACAAAAGTTTTTAAGTTTGGATCTAGTTGTTACTCCCTGATTTAGATCGGTGAGGAGGTTATCCAGCGGATGTGATCTATGAAGCTTCCAACCCCTAGGAGCGTTGGGTTGATCCACCAAATTGTAGAGAGTATCTGAAACTTGTTCTATTGGTTCTATAGGTCCAGTGTCAATGTTCTGTCCAGGTTCTTTTTCAGTTCCAGATTGTTCATTGTCATTTGTTGGTGGAACTTCGCCAGTTTGATAGTCAGTTTCTTTATCTCCTTGGGATCGTGACTTCTTGCGAGTCACCCCTAGCTCACCATCATCGGCTTGGATTGACTTTGAGGCAAGTGCTTCATCAAAGATTACATGAATGCTTTCTTCCACACATTGTGTGCGTTTGTTTAGAACTTTGTAAGCCTTGCTATGAGGAGAATATCCGAGGAAGACTGCCTCGTCACTTCTAGCATCAAATTTTCCGATGTTATCTTTCCCATTGTTGTGGACGAAACATTTGCATCCAAAGGTTCTTAGATGACTAATGTTGGGCTTCCTTCCTTTGAGTAGTTCGTAGGGTGTTTTCCCTAGGAGTGGGCGGATCATGGCTCGATTAATGATGTAGCAAGCTGTGTTTAGAGCCTCGGCCCAGAAACTCCTAGCTAGACCGCTGGAAATTAGCATTGTTCTAGTCATGTCCTCCAGAGTTCTATTCTTCCGTTCTACCACTCCGTTCTGTTGTGGAGTTCTAGGGGCAGAGAAGTTGTGGTCTATCCCTCGTTCCTTGCAGAATGCATCGAAGAGTGAGTTGTCAAACTCAGTTCCATGATCCGATCGGATCTTGATTAGTCGTAGACTTGTTTGATGTTCAATTCTCCTTACAAAAATAGCAAACTCATTAAAAGTATCTTTCTTGCTAGCAAGAAAGATAGTCCATGTAAATCTTGAAAAGTCATCAACAATAACCAGAACATATTCTTTGTTTCCTCGGCTACGGACTGACATTGGACCACACAAATCCATGTGCATTAGTTCTATGGGCTTGCTTGTGCTCACCAAATTCTTTGTTTTAAAAGATGATCGAGATTGTTTTCCGGTGGCACAAGCCGAGCAGACATGGTCAAGTGAAAATTTCATGTTCGGCAGTCCAATAACTAAATCATTATTTTTAAGTTTATTTATTAATGAAAAACTAGCGTGTCCAAGCCTTTTATGCCATAGCAAAGGATCGTTATCAATAACGCTCAAACAAGTCATACTAATATTAGGCAAAGAATCAAGATCTACTTTATATGTATTTTCGAGCCTCTTGCCTTCAAGTATAACTTGTTGTGATTCGTTATTAACAATGCGACAAACGTTATGATCAAAAACAACACTATTACCTCGATCGCAAAATTGAGAAATACTTAGTAAATTAAATTTCAAACCCTTGACTAAAAATACATTATCGATAGCATGGCTAGGTGACTTTCCAACTTTGCCCACGGCTATGATCTCTCCTTTGCCGTTGTCTCCAAATGTCACCTTTCCACCGCTAAATGGCCGTAGTGAGAGGAATAAAGATTTATCCCCCGTCATGTGCTTAGAACAACCACTGTCAAGGAACCAGTGATTGTTCCCCCTCACTCGGCGCTGTTCCAGGATTAAGGTTTAGTGCGTGGAACCCAGACCTGCTTGGGTTCCATTTTGTATTTATTTGAGGAAGATCTAACATAATCATAACATCTATCTAGGGTCTCTTGCCGAGAGTAACATTGATACCGAAGATGACCGATTTTGCCACAATGCATGCACACTCGGTTATCATAAGTATCAACGTATTTGGGTTTCCATTTACCGTGAAAGCCTCTAGTTCTTTTGTAAAAAGTCCGGTTAGGCGTTTGTCCATAACCGTTTTTGTGCCTCTGAACCAGTCTATCGAACCAGTTTGGTCCAGTTCTAGGTGGCTGTTGATATGGTCTAGAACTGGGTTGTCCTTGGGTTCTTTTACCCTTAAAGGGTTGGTTCTGAAAATTTGATTCTTGATTAGATCGAATATCCTTTGGAACATATCCGAGACCTGCAGTCTCGTTTACTTTCTTATTGTGCTGAGAAGGACCAGTTCCAGAATGATGTCTAGACCTGGTTTTGTTCGTTGCACTATAGGATTGATATTCCGGTCTATTTTTAAAATCAGTGCACTCGGCAACTAGACGATGAAGATGATCAATTAAAGAACCAACACTCGGTATTTTTGAGAGAAGCTTTTCATCATGATCAACTTGTTTGTTCATACTATCGAGCTTAAGAGAACAAATAATTTGATCTTGTTCTAGAACCACTTCACTGTACTTAAGCCTTTCATCTACTAACTCTCCCACTTTTGTTTCAAGCCTTATTTTGGCTCTCGTGGCTTCCTCGAGTTTAGACTCAAGCTCAGTGATACGTGATTTAAGATGATCATTTTCGGAAAGACTTTCATTAAGCTCAATAGTCAATCTTTTGAAAATTTTCCGAGTTTTGGTTTTGGATAGAGAGTCAAACTTGGATAGGAAGTTTTCAAAGTTTACCTCAAAGCTTTCTTGGTCGGATTCCTCGTCGGAGAGTGCCATAAGACATAGACCCGCATGATTGGAGTTCTTGTCATTTTCTTCTTCTTCATCATCGGATGAGTCTCCCCATGCGGCCATCATTGCCTTCTTGAGATCTCTGTTGAAGCTTTTGTCTTCACTGAACCTCCGGTTGGAACTGGACTTGTTCTTGTCGTAGGTTTTATCATTTTTCTTTTGTGGGCAGTCCTTAGCCCTGTGCTCAAAGGAACCACAAACAAAACAACCTTGGTTATTAAAGGATTGAGTATTCCTTTTACCTTGTTTGGTACGGTTGTTCTTGAATTTTCGGTACATCCTCCCAAATTGTCTTGCAAACATGCTCATCTCGTCATCCGATTCACTTTCAGATTCTTCTTCTTCCTCTCGAGCCTTTAGAGCTATTCCTCTTTCTCGTCTAGCATTCTCGGCATCTTGTTCTTCTTGAAGACCCAGTTCATATGTTAAGAGTGATCCGGTTAAGTCTTCAAGCGTCATGGTGGATAGATCTTTTGCTTCTTCAATGGCCGTGGTCTTAGGCTTCCATACCGGGGGCAGGCTTCTCAAGATCTTTCTTACTTGATCTTCTACTGTAATCTCTCTTCCAAGGGCTGAAAGCTCATTGATGATATTAGTAAAACGTGTAATCATATCCTTAATTGACTCTTTTGGCTTCATTACGAATAATTCGTAATTACGCATGAATATGTCAATCTTAGATTTTTTTACACGTGAGGTTCCCTCATGAGTGACCTCGAGCAAATCCCACATTTGTTTTGCAGTCTTGCATCCTAGAACTCGATTGTGTTCGGCAGGACCAAGACCACAAATTAAATATTTAAGGGCTTGGGCATTATGCTCGAGTTTCTCATAATCTTCAGAAGTATATTCAACTTTAGGTTTAGGAACAATATTACCTTCGGCGTTTCTCTTTGTGATGACATTATCACCACTTTCAATTACATTCCAAACTTGGTAGTTATCGGCCTTGATAAAGTTTTCCATCCGACTCTTCCAAAATTGATAGTATTTGCCATTGAACAATGGTGGTCGTTGAGTCGAATACCCTTCTTCCAATCGGTCAACCGTATTCATTTTGCCGGATCTCTTCCCAAGGTATTAGCCTTTATGTGGTGAAGACCGGCTCTGATACCAATTGAAGAAAACGGTTAGCAACACAAGAGGGGGGGGGGGTGAATTGTGTGTGTGTGGAACCGTGGCAGTTTTTCACCGAGTTCTGGTGTGTGGGATAAAGGGAATTGCAAAATAGTAAAGTGCACAAGAATTTAACGAGGAAAAATCCCTTGGCTCAAAGGGATTAAAAAAACCTCGACCTCCCTCGGAGGAATTTTAAACAACTTCACTAAACAAGCCTTTGAAAGAGTTACAAGAGTGATTCTCCTAATCTACCCTTGAGCCTCCCCAACTCTATCCTCTCTAGGAAGAGTTATGCATCTCTACCTTGCGGGTAGAGAGCCTCTCAGCTTTATCACAAAGCTCTCACACACACTTAACCCGAGGCAGCTGCTCTAGCCAATTAAGCCTCAATAATCCAAGTACAATATGAAAGGGAAAAGAAAACTCTATCTAGAACTCAGTGAGCAGGTTCAGGAGCCTTGGACTTGATATCTTCTTTTGGTATTCCTCTTGATTCGACTTTCTCTTCACGGTCAAGCCTGCTATTTGATCTTCAGTCCGTTGTATATATAGTACTTTTTGTAACGTTCACTTGCTCTTCAATTTGACAACTTGGACTTTCCTAGTTATTTTGAATGGCCTTCCTTGTATAACATTTCTCACCTTTTGAGCTATGAATATCCGTTAGTCAAAATAATGCATGCATCGACAAAGGGGATATATTAGCCAAGGGATTTTCTTACCTAACTAATCAAGAAAGCAATGGTATATACTAGCACATATTTTTCTAGCTATTAACGTGTTTTAATTATGAAAGGTAGATCTATTGGCATGGTAAGAAATATTGAATAATGTCTTGGTCAAACAAATCATACGAAAGGTAAGAAAATAGAGTTTCCTATGGTGTGTTCAATAGGAAACACTTTTATTTATTCATTCCAAATGCTACGGTCAACTAATGCAGATATGGCAAGAGAATATTCATTGGAGTATTAAACCAGATAAATTAGAGTACGTAAGGTCTGACAAGACATGCAAACTGGAATATTTAATCAAGGTAGTTCAGCCATTTGTCTAGAACCCGTCGTGGTTCCAGTTAATCAGTTCACCTGCAAGTTAGTGATAGAAGAGGTCTCCCTGTTGTTCCTCTATTGGTTAGTCATCAACAAAAATAACTTTTGCAACAGAAACCTTGAAAACCATTCACAAGTAAAATTCGTAAATAAATTACTGGAAGATAAATTCCATGAACTAAAAGATTAAAAAGGACATGGGAATAAGCAGATAAATACTAACTACTCGTAAAACATTAAAAAGGACATATGAAATACTTAGATAATACTAATAATACTATTAAAAAATAAAATACTTGGGAGGGGCCAAGGCCCCACTAACCTTGTTGATAGTTCCGTCCCTGTGTACATGTATATGCGGTAAATTATACCGTACACCCGGTTGTACGGTTCTCACCGTACAACCGGGTATTTTTGTAATTAATTACAACTTAAAGGCTAATAGTCATGTTGCTTCTGCTCTGTTTTTCTTCTTTTTTCTGCCGGCTCCGTTTTCCTTCTGTTTTGCTTCTTCTCTGTTTTTCAACCGGCACTGTAGCGTTGCTTTACACGCGTACATCTGTTGGCTCCGTCTTTTTAATTCCTTTGCTTTAGGTTGTCAGGTCTGTAGGTTGTTGTTGTTCTCCTTTGTATTATTTCTTTTTATTCAACAACTTTTTGCACTTTAAAAAAACACCAACTTTTTGCTTTATTTTTTTCAATTATTATCAAAATGTATAAATAAAATATTATTTAATGTTGGAGTTTGTTTTTGCTTTTTTCAATAAAACTCATAACTTAATTCTTTTTAATTGTACATTATTAAATATTTTAGGTATTAATTTTATTTTTATATTTCAAATTTTAAGATTAATATTTATTAGTTTATTAAATATTGTGTGTATTATACTAAAATGAGTTTATTACCAACATGAGTTTTGTATTATATTCAAATGAGTACAGTGCAAAATAAATGTGCATGAGTAAATATTATAAAAACAACGCAATTATATTTGCATTTTTTAAAATAAACCTAAAATTTGTTTTTAGTATAGCATTTTTTATATTTTTCATTGTTATATATAATCATAGTTTATTAAATTGTTAATAACGAATTTACTAGATGTACATGTTATACAAAAGAGTTGATGTTATATTCGAATGAGTATAACTATTAAAAGAAATGAGCATTCACAAATGAATATTTGAACACATTAGAGAATTCAATTGAGCTTTTGAACATTTTAATGTTTATTTTTATGTTATGTATGCTTATCTGATATTGATTTTTATTCTTATTTTAAAATCTCATATCAATGCATATTTCAAAACTACCATATTACATTAGATTCCCATGAGAGTTGATTAGAGACAAGAAAGTAGAGATCATGATACCCAATTCTATGCTTATAATACTCAATAAACGACGTTTGATATACAATAAAAATGCTTTGATGCTCAACTAACAAAGCTTATAATTTTCATATCATTGCCCATTTGGTAAATAATGTATAATCATTTAGTACTGGTGTTATGCTATTTTAAAATTTTAAAATGTTATATCAATACATATTTCAAAATTAGCATATCACGTTTGATTCACGTAGGAGTTGATTATAGATACTGGAGCACAAACCATGCATGATACTCAATTGTATATTTATAATACTCAATAAAAGAGATTTGATACTCAATGAAAATGTCTTCATTCTCAACGAAAAAAACCTTATGATTTTTATATCATTGCTCATTTTGTAAGTTACGTCTGCTCAACTAGTACTCATGTTATGCTCATTTTAAAAATGTCATATCAATGCATATTTCAAGAGTACAATATTACATTAGATTCACATATTGAAATTCATAAGAGTTGATTATAGATATAATTTAATAATTTTTTATAAAAGAAAAAATAACAAAAAGAAAGTGAATTAGAAATTATGAAGCAGAGATCACGATTTCTAATATTAGACTCCTAATACTCAACATAACTGTTCTGATGTTCATTAAAAGTTCATTAATGCTCATTCACCAGAAACCATGATTTTCATCTCAATAACGAAGGTTTGATGCTCAGTTAAAATGTTGTGATGTTTAACTAACAAACCTTATGATTTTCATATCAAAGTACCATATTACATTCGATTCACATATTGAAATTCATAGGAATTGATTATAGATAAAATTTAATGAGTTTTTATAAAAGAAAAAATAAGATAACGGAAAGTGAATTACAATATATGAAATTGATATCACATTACTCATTATTCGACTCTTAATGCTCAATAGAATACATCTGATGCTCATTAACAGTGTGATATCAGTTTTTTTGTACTAACATGATGCTCACATTTTAATACTCATCTATCAAAAAACATGATTTTCACTGATATTACAAAAATGTCACCGTTTTTTAGTTATGATATCAGTTTTCTTGTACTTACATGATGCTCATTATCGGAAGCTTAATACTCATTATAATTGGCCTTTTGCTCATTAAACGTACACTAATGCTCATTTAGCTGAAGCCGTGATTTTTTGCTTAAATTTCAAAAATGCCACCGAAAATAAAATGGTCTATATTAGTTAATGGGCTGTCTTCTTCAACTGGGCTGGATGTACCTACATCCGGGTGTAGGATATAGGTACTATTAAAAAATAAAATACTTGGGAGGGGCCAAGGCCCCACTAACCTTGTTGATAGTTCCGTCCCTGTGTACATGTATATGCATATATATGAGCTACGAGCTCAAAGAGCTGCACAAATTATGTTAAACACAATTGGGGGTGTGCACAAACCGGTTCAAACCGGTAAACTGGGCTCTACTGAAAAAACAGAACCAACCTGGATGATATCCGGTCTGGTTTTCGGTTTTCAAATATTGTTTTTGAAGTCCGTGGTCATGTTTTGATTAAAAAACCGGATTGTTCCGGTTTGGACCGGATTAACTGGTTTTCTATTTTCTTTAATAAATTAATTAATAGTATTAATATAAAATCATAATAGAATAATAAAGTTAATAAATAATTCTTATAAAAATAGAAATATTAATCTGTTTAATATGTAGTATATATTGCCCTAATGTTTTATTCATCTATTTATTCTTATTTTCTTAATAATAGAATTAACTAATATTTACCATTCTAATACCCAACGACCTAACATGTAAAAAATTAAATCAGCTAGTATGTAATAACGTCTATGGTATGCAACCAAAAGAATAATTCCGGTAATTGTAGCAAATTCTCATGCAATCAGCTGGTTGCATGGTCTTGTGTATGTGAAAACAAGCAAATTTATCATCCCTCAAGATGGTGCGTGAAGATCATGAACGCCCATCTTGCTGACAAGTGAGTGAAATTGGTCTGAGCTAAGAGGTTTGGTTAGCACTTCAGTCACATGTGCCTTAGTCGGAATGTTCTGCGGCTCCACCTTGTTAGATGCAATATGTTCCCGTACGAAGTAGATCATCTCTACGTGCTTTGTGCGTTGATGAAAAATATGATTGATATTGATATGTAGAACAACTTGGTTGTTACAATATTAGAAATTACTTCAAATAGGACTAAAACTATGACAAAAACTCAAAATAGGACTTGTTATGTTTTTATTCCAAAAAAAATAATTCAGAAATATTTACTGTAAAGCACCTACCATACTCCTGTACTCAGTAGGATCCGCCAGAAGGAAGAGGGGTACGAACTGGTTTAAGAGTATGAAGATGAAACCTGGCTAATAAATCGGACACATATTTCTTTTGTGAGAGAAATAACCCTTGAGACAGACGGACCGCGTGGACACCCAGGAAAAAATGTAGATCCCCTAGATCTTTCATAGCAAAGTGGCGGCCCAGACAAGAAATAAAATGAGTGATGAAAGATGAGGAATTACCAGTTATAATAATATCATCGACATAGAGGAGCAAATAGAGAATATGACCCCCTTGCCGAAAAATAAATAAAGAATTATCAGACTTACTGCAGACAAACCATGAGTTAAAAGAAAACTACTAAACCTGTAGAACCAGGCTCTTGGAGCCTGTTTGAGACCATAAAATAGGGTTTCCATATTTATAATAGAATAAGTGTCCAAAATACAATAGGAAACAACAAAATATGGAAACCCTATTTTAGGTAATTACTACATTATTAATACAGACATGAGAATCCTTAGATGAACAATTGGTCCAGTGCATATGCCTTAAATGAACAATTGGTCAAGTGCATATGCTTTGGATGAAATATTGGTCAATTGCATATGCAGAAGCTAAGCATTCTTAGTAAACAATCTAGGGATAGGATATTCCAGAATTCAGAACAACCTTAACGTGAATACACACCCAAATGGCCACATAGTGTGTTCGTCTTTGGAAATCTAAAGGACAATACACACTGAGTGCAGAGAATGCCTATGGATTTTATGAAATTAAATTGCAATTAACTACTCAAATGCTCATTGATTAAGTATCATATAACCAATCATTCATTGCAATAATATGAACATTTTTTTTATAGATTCTCGTTTTCAGAGGAGAAACATGTGTTAACCCATATACATTGATACAAAGACATATATATGCATGTATGTGAGTGTGTGTTAGTGAATCAAAAGTATGCTTGTGCATTTTGTCCTTGTTTGCTTGGTGAACATTTTTTTCATCTCTATAGTCATATATAACAAATCACAGGTGCCACGATCTGCTTGAAAACTTCACAAGAAGAAACCTTACCTCACAAATGTAAGAATTAGGTCGCAGCTTCAGTATTTTCTCCACCCAATTCTCTTCTGATGCGCTTCAGAAATTGTATAATGAATCGGCAGTTCATTATTATCAATCGGTCTGACGTTAAACGTGAACGAATGAAACAAGTTGCAATGGAAAAACGATGTCGGGAACCCTCAAAATCAGCATTTGTTTGACGGTCGAATTAGGGATCTGATAATTCATGTTGAGATCGATTGAGAGAGCAACGGCGACGAACGATTTAAGGTGGAGTTTATGGTAAGGCAGCTGGAAATTGATCGACAAATACGAAAGATGGACAGACGCGAAGCTTCTAGGAGATGAAGACAAATGTCGATTGTCGATGCAGAGCCAAATTTTTGTGATTTGATTGCATTTAATGTTTTGACTCTTTTTGAAATAAGGAAACCTAAATTGAAAATTTGAAAGTTAAATATGAAAACTAATACATAGCTGGACATAAATGAAATACTAAGCACAAAATTAGACTCTTCGGGTAATTAGCACAATTAAAAGAGAACGGAAATAGTACAAGATATTGTAACCCATTGACATGCTTTGATTTGTTTAGTCTTAAATTCTTATTTAAGTCCCCAAGTGTGATCAATAAAAAAATTAATGGGAAGACGATATATACGTAGTAATTAATTCATTTAAGGGAGGTGTTTCTTTGCTCTTAAAATTAGCTTAGTGTCTTATATGCTCTTAGAAGGTTTACCTTAGTGGTCTCATTGCTCCTGAAATTATCCTACTGTCTTATTTGCTCCTCCCTTTTGTATTCAAAGAAAAATGGCCACGGTTAGTCATCGGGTTAATAATGAGAAGGAAGATGGCAGTAGCTTTCCAGTTCCCACCCCTGCGAAAGCGGCAATCAATAATCGAGGCCAACATAAAAGCTCTGATTTCAGCGACGAATCAACCGGCAGGGATCTCTGATGACGTTCTAGACATTGAAAAATCTCTTGGGGAAAAAAAATTATATTCAAAGGGGGCGGCGAGGGTTTCCCGATTGGAAATTTGACGGGCGGAAATCCCAGATTGAAAATTACTTTAAATCGAGGCCAACGTAAATCTCTCTGCTCTTTGGAAAGCATTTGGTGAATATGTCAAGCCCTTTATTCCGGTCTCAGCACCTGAAGTTAACGCACTCTATAATTGTGTTTTATATACCGAATTATCAATTTAATCTAATAAAAAGAATTTATTAGAAGCATTGTCCAAGGCTTTCTTCATTGGTTCTCTGGATTCGAAACACGTTTTGATTAAATTAGAATCGATCTATGACTATTACACACTCATGCACAAACAGGTATGGTACATTCAAGGTATTCTTATGCGTGTTTTGAAACATAACTTTGATTTCATTCCTCCGGTTGAATCCCCAGTAGCCCCGGTGTGGAATTCTCTTCCTAAATTGCCTTTAGTATTCTATGATAAGGCTATTTTGCATACGACTGGCTTAGATTTGGGTTCACCCATTAAAGTTGATGAGAAAACATCAAATAAAAGTAGATTATATTTGGCTAGAATGTGTGTGGAAATTGATGTTTCAAAGCCCAGTCTGTCAGAGATTCGTATTGGGTATGACAATTTTTCCATTTGGCAGCCAATAGTTTATGGAGGTGTGCCTCTTTATTGTAATGAGTGCAAGCATCTTGGTCATGATTCTCACGATTGCATTACAAGCTGAGAAGAAGGAAGATACTGGCAACCCTCAAGTTGAGAAATCCTTGGAGCTAAATGATAAGATTAATGTGCAAAAGTTTCAAGAGTACGAGATGAATGAACTTGGAGAGCTCAAAGGGCCTCATTCTCGAAGTTAAAGAGCAAAGTTTAACAGATTCCCTTGAGTCTGAGAGACCTATTCAAAAGATCAAGGATAGCGATGCTCAAGTTCATGACTCTATTTTGGATACTAACAATGAAAAATTCAAAAGCTGTCTTGCAAAAATAAAAGTCGAGTCTCAATTGTTTCAGAAAGACTGAACTTCTTCAAAAGAAAAAAAGCTAAAGAAGTAGTGAAATTATCAACATTGCATTCATCTCTGCTGGACCTTCCTGTATCAATTGAAAAACTAGAAGAAATCACAAAAGTAGTGTCCAAGAAAACTAAGAAACGAAATAAGGTGGCTACAAGGAATATTCAAACATGACAGAAATAAGGCGCCTACAAGGAATTATCAGTAGCTGAGTTTTCTCACTGTTTTTCCTTGTTCAACTTTATCCTCTCATTAGCTTTTGTACCCCTTTTATCAATAAAACCTTCTCTTTTCCAAAAACAAAAAATGGTCATTACTTAAACATCCGTTTTAAATCTTCCATAAGACTGGCCACTGATTGCAATTATTTTCTTTTAAACACATAGGTCTATTCCATTCATCTTACTTTTGTCTAAGAAAGTACCAAATATCAAATGACTACACTTTTTTGCACATCGATAGCAAGAAGAAAATAAATGCATTTTTTGTTCAATTCTTTTGTTAACTCCTTGGAATAGAAGTTTGAACATAGAGAATGGTAAGAAGAAGAAGAGTACTAATTATTTTTCATCTTTTCTTGGCCAACAATCTTAGAGCATTATTATGGTTCAGCTTAAGCAACTTTGATAGAACCTTGGGATACTTCAACTAAGAACAGTAGAAAATCAAGCAGATGATCAAGAAGATTTATTGAAGTAGGGAATGTTTACAGAAAGAATCAAATAGCCACAGACAATTCAAGATGCCTAGTCTCCTAGCCTATTCCAACAGAATAGTTGCCTACCTCCTGCCTTCCCCCTTCCTTATTTATAGTACTTCTATTTAATCAAGGGCTGGCCCATTATACCTAATTTACTAAAATGGCCCAGAATCTACATTTAAACTCTATTACACTCTTCAATACTATTAGTATTCTTATTAGTATTATTGTCTATGTTCCTGTCAAACATATTTCCTATTAGTTCCATTTTGGATTGGATTTAATACACTGTTATGGTAAGTAAATTTAAGTGGCATTTTTTTCTATTCAAGTAAAACTTATTTCTTCTCTTAGGCTAATGTTTCAAAAGGAGATAAGTTGCTCATTTCGTAATTATGGGCAAAGGTTTTTGCTTAGTTTGCTCATTTCATTTTAGATAGGAAATTGTCATAAATAGGAGTAAATGAGGTTTGAAATTCCAAAATTGGACTTCTATGTTTTTCTTCCTGAAATAGGAGTTGTTACTGCCATGTATGAAAAATATTGTCATTGAAAAATTCTCTCATTAATTATAATAAATATTGTCATTTTAAATGCACTACACTGCAACTACTTGGCATCACGTACAATATGGCCGTAAATACCGTCATGTTAGTCCTATTTATGGAATAGAAACATGGTAGTCTTATTTTGGAATTTCAAATTCCATTTACTCCTATTTTGGAAAATCTCCCATTTTAGATCTAAAATTACTTTTGTAATTGCTATAGCTAATCACCTTATTAAAAATTGTTATTTTGTAAAAGTTCAAGTTCTGCTTTTAACTATTAGTTTTAAAATGCTTAACTTAAGCTGATGTTATCACTTGAAAACACCAATTTTAATTTTTTAAACTAGAAAATTAATTGTTTATTGTTTCTTTCAAGTTCTTTCAAACACTCCCACAGTAAAACATCTGTTTATTATGTATGAGAATACATTCATAAGATATATTTCCATTTTTAAGCAAAACGAATTATAAGGTTTTTTTAATATAGATTATTTGTTTTGGTTATTATGAAGTAATGCAAGCTGTTGTCAAAGGTTTACATGTTGAATCATTCACTCACACATGTTATCTTATTAGAATTATGATTCTTTAAAACACAATAAGTACTCCCTCCGTCCCTAATAAAACTTCCAAATAGGTTTAGCACACAGTTTAAGATAGTGGGTATTGTGTAGTGGAGAGTTGTGCAGAGGAGAGAGAAATGTATAAGAATTGTTGTGAACCACAAATTCTGGCCAAAAAGGGAAAGTGGAAGTTTTAATTGGGACGGACGGAAAAGGAAAGTTTATTTGGGGACGGAGGGAGTAATATATAATCTATGTCCATTAGTTTAATTGTGTGTCATATTTTATTAGTTTTGGGTCTCGTGCAACACGCGAGTGTAAGACTGGTTCACATATATGGGAAAAATAGTCTAACCTCAAATATTCAATTTCTTCTCTTTTTTGGATAGCCACTCTTCATGGGATAATACGTTTTTAGGGATATGGATCTGCTTTATTTATTTCTTTGTCTCAACACCAAGTCGTATCTCTTATGACCTCATTCTTCTCCCCAAGAATTCTAGACAATCCAATATGTTACACCAATGGACGATACTCCGTAACCAATGATTAGGATCACATGATATGAAAATAACTTTTGAGATGTCAATTCGTGTTTGGTTGGTCCTATGGGTGGGCAATTCGGTTTACGGTTCGGTTTTCTTCGGCTTCGGTTTTGTTTCGGTTTATTCGGGTTGGGAGAATTTGTACCAAACTAAAACCATTTGTGTTTCGGTTTGGTTTCGGTTCGGTTCGGTTTAAAGTTCGGTTTACCAAAATAAAAAAAATATTATGTTTAATTTAGTTTTCGTTTGTTTATGTTTATTATTTAATTTGATCAAGTTCTATATTTCAGAATTAGAAAATGAAAGAGTAGTCCATCTCATCTTTTTTTAATTTATTGATTATTTAAATAAAATGTAAAAGGAAATAAAAGATATAAAAATAAATAAAAAATATCATAAATTGAAACTTCTATCATCTTTTTTATCACTACAAAAAATTCATTTCTTACAAATAAAAAGATAGTTGATTAACATTTATAATATCACATAAAATATTCAAAAAAACTAAAAGAGTCGATGGTACAAATGTTGTAATATTCACAATTTTATTGAAATGAATCATGTAAAAATATAAATGCAATTTGCTATTGTTATCGCCAAACATAATAAATACAAATATGTCGGAAAAGTTAAATGTGTAAAAGTTAAAATGATACGAGTATATGCTTAAATATGTATTTTCATGTCTAAATTATTTATTTATATCTTAAAAATGAAGAGTGAAGATAGATACAATGTGTGTGTGTGTATATGTTGTTCGGTGTTCGGTTCGATTTACGGTTTTTCCGTTTTAAACCAAACCAAACCAAAGTACCAAATCATTCGCTTTGAGCAAATGTTTGCCAAACAGTTTACTTAAGTAAACCCAAACCAAATCAAACCACCAATTTTAATAATATTTAAAAGTTTTTTTGAGTTTCTTTAGTTCGGTTCGGTTTTTATCGGTTTCGGTTCGGTTTAATACGGTTTGAAAGAAATAGTACCAAACTCAAACCAAATTGCATATGGTCCGGTTCGATTCGGTTTGATACGGTTCGGTTAAACCAAACCGTTATGCCCACCCTTAGTTGGTCCGTTGTAGATTCCTTGTTTATATTACATCATATAATGCTCTTAAAATACTATTTTAAGCATGCAATATAAATACATATTAGTTGCACTTACAGTTTGTTTGTTTTGCTTGTTAAAACTCGGGGTATTCAACAGAGTTCCAACAATAGACTACTTAACTAGAACGCGTTGCAACTTCAAATCATCACATCTGAACAACTAAAAATCTCATCAATTCGTACCGTTGTAGCCTATCATTAAATTGGTACCGTAAATGATATGAACTATCAGTATTCAAAAAATAATAAATTATGCTTGAACACAATAGTAGTGATTACACTAATTAGGTATTTACATTTGTAAGGTAGCACTTTTATTTACTACCAATAAAAAAGCACTCGGTTTCTTCAAAAAGTCCATCGTCACGCACTTGGTCAATCAAATCATTGAACTCCAGCACTCCCCGTATGGGCATATGGAACATGATGTATCACATATGTTGCATCAAAAGTTGAGTTCGCTACTACGTTTGTTTCCCAATGTTGAGCAATTCTTCAACCGCTCTTGTCATTGAAATAGCCCAACGTCTAGCTACAAAATCACAACTCAGAAATTTATATATAATGATAATGAAAATATCATTAACATATATCAAAGGCATTGATTGTTATCAGTCGTCATGCACCACAATCGTTATATATATATATAACGTATCCTCCAATATTGCCAACCTCCAATATTGCTATATTATAGAATACCAGAGTTTAAATTGGGCAACCTAAAATATTGGAGTTTACATTATATAAATACTCCCTCCGTCCCTTATAACTTTGCCAACTTTCCTTTTTGGATGTCCCATTAACTTTGTCACTTTCCCATTTAAGTAAAGAATTTGTGGTTCCAATTAATTCTCTCTCCTCTGCACAAACCTCAACCACACAGTTTTTACTTTATTAATTCCCGTGCCGGTCAAACTTGGCAAAGTTATTAGGGACGGAGGGAGTATACGATTGTGATGTATGATGACTTACAAAAATCAACCTCTTTGATATATGGCGATAATATTTTTATTATCATTATATATAAATTTGTGAGTTATCACTTTGTAGCTATATGTTGGGCAATTTCAATGACTAGAGCGGTTGAAGCATTGTTCAATATTGGGAAACAACCGGAGTATCAAACTCAACTTTCAATTCAACATATTATAAATCATGTTACATATGTCATACGGGTAGTGGTGGAGTTTAATGATGTGATTGACCACATGCGTGACGATGAACTTTTTGAAGAAACCATTTGCTCTTTTATTGGTAGTAAATCAAAGTGGTATCATTCAAATATAAGTACCTAATTACTACTATTGTATTCAAACATAATTTATCAAATTGATGAGATGTTTATTTGTTCATACGTTGATGATGTAGAGTCGCAACGCGTTCTAATTAAGCAGCCTATTGTTGGAACTCTATTGAATATCTCGAGTTTTAACAGACAAAACCAACAAACAACTCATATATATCACATGCTCAAAATAGTATTTTAAAAGCATAATATATGATGTAATATAAATAGGGAATCTACAACGGACCAACCAAACAGGAATTGGAATCTCAAAAGTTATTTTTATATCATGTGGTCCTAATAATTGGCTACGGAGTATCATCAACTGGTGTGCCATATTGGATTGTCCAGAATTCTTGGGAAGAAGAATGGGTCATAAAGGATACGGCTTGGTGTTGAGACAAAGAAATAAGAGAAGCAAATCCATATTCCTAAAAACGTATCATCCCATGAAGGCAGACTATCCAAGAAAGGAGAGAAATTGAATTTTTGAGGTTAAACTTTTTTCCCCATATATGTGAACTAGTCTTACACACGTGTGTTGCACGGGACCGAAACTAATAAAAAATGACACAAAATTAAATTAATGAACATAAATTATACATTACTTATGATGTTTGAAAGAATTATAATTCTAATAATATAATAAGACAACATGTGTGAGAGAATGATTCAATAGGTAAATCTTTGACAGATTAAACATGTACACCTTTGACAATAGCTTGCATTATTTAACAATAACCAAAACCAATAATGTATATTTAAAAACCTGATAATTGGTTTTTGTTTAGAAATCAAAATATATATTATGAATGTATTCTCATACACATTAAATCGTTTTTACTATGGGAGTGTTTGCACGAACTTGAAAAAAACAATAAACAATTAATTTCTAGCTTAAAAAATTAAAATTGGTGTTTTCAAGTGATAACATCAGCTTAAGTTAAGCACTTTAAAACTAAAAGTTGAAAGCATAACTTTAACTTATGCAAAATAACAATTTTCAATTTTTTTAATAAGATGGTTAGTTACAGCAATTACAAAGGTAATCTAATAAATCTAAAATGAGAGATTTCACAAAATAGGAGTAAATGCAGTTAGGAATTTCAAAATATGACTACTATGTTTTTATTTCCGAAATAGGACTAACATGACAGCATTTACGGCCATTTTGTAGGTGTGACTACCAAGTAGTTGCAGTATAGTCCATTTAACATGACAGTATTTATTATAATTAATGAGTGTATTTTTCAATCATGAAAATGACAGTATATGTGCAAGTGGTTCAAAGATTACAAGCCAATTTCCTCAAGAAAACAAGAGATCGAGCATGCATACGAGTAAACCCCTTTATTGTGTTATATTGTGTTCTATTTTACTTGCAGTATATTTGGAACTTTGTTACATACTTGCATCCATTATATGTTACACTTCTTATATATTAAGAGTTTATTTGGTAACACCGAAATTGGTTGAAATATGCGGGAATTAACGAAATTGGCTAAAAATTATATTTAAACATATTTTATGAATAAAATAAAGAAATAAGCAAGTCCAACCTTACAAAAAAGTTATAACAAAGAGCAAATTTGATCCAAAACCATGTCATCGATTCCATGGTCTTTCCAAATTATAACCACTTAGAGAAGAAGAAACTTGCTTGAAGCAGGGTTGTTGTGATCCTCTACAGCTTGTTAAAATATTTCATTTATGATTTTTTGTAAGTCTTTTTATCAAATTTGTTGCCGAAAATTAATAAATGAAAGGAGTTTTTAGCTAATTAGCTTTCAATTGGACCGTTTATTTATGTTGATGAGACTTGCTTTGACCTCACCCACTAATTTTGACTTGGTCAAAATCAAGGGAAAGCATTCAGTTGCTGTTTAGAAGAGCAAGCACGGCTTTGAAGACACTCCAGCCGCTCAGACCATGGAATCCGCGGTGATGGCACGCATCCGGCTGTTTCCGCCGTTGAGAACCGCCAGAAAGGCCCATGCGCCATTCGGAGTTGCTGCGATGACTGGAGAGAGGGGCGGATGGAGCCACGGCCGTATCCTTCACCTGGTGTATGCTCGGATATCGCTGTCAGATAAAAGGGATTCTCAGCGGGGACACTCGCGCCGGAGGCGGCGGTGAGAGATGCGACCGGAGACCGGTGAGGAGAAAGAACAGCTGCAGACGGCGTTTGGCGGCTCTGCGAATGGAGCGGTGGAGGAACCATTGCCGTTTTGAGGTTATGTTTCCTTCCCACCGGCCATTGATGGCGGAGATGCTAAAATCTAGTTTCTGCGAGGCTTGCCTAAATAGGGTAAGTTCTTGCAGACGAAAACCATGGGCAGCGCTCAATGACCCTCAAAATCCGAGATTGGACCCACATACGCTGCAGAGATTGGACCCTCAAAATCCGAGATTGAGTCATGTGTAAATCCAGAAGCTGAGAATGCACCGCTACTTCAATGGTATGCAAATAGATACCACGAGTCAGATCCCTACTGACTATTCATAGTTCAATTTGGTTCTCAAAGCTCATCTGAAACAAATCCGAACTGGCGTTTGCGTAAGAAATACAGATTCAAGTATTCAACCTTGTTTCTGATACATTCGACGGTTTAGAAGGCAGGGATTCAAAAGATGGAGAAGAAGTGAACTCGGGACCGGCATTGGATAGATGATGGGGAAGAGAGCGACAGAGGCGGTGGGGAAGACGAAGGAGGCAGCGGCGGGGAATATATCGACCGCGGCGGGGGAAAGAAAACGAGCCCTTTTTCTTTTACTGTGAAGATGGGGTAACTTTCTTTTGGGGGTATAAATGGAAAGTTAACACAAATTATTTCACTTTCTTAAATGTTGAAAAGTGAAACTGTGAAGATCAATAAATAATACTGTAATATTAATGATCATACTACTATCTAATGTTGTATGCAAAAATTAGGAGTATTGGGCTTTTAAGGTACTTAGCTCTTATTCGCTGGATTGCCCGGTCATAATTTGTATTTGGGCGAATTGGTCTGCCAGAATAATACTCTAGGATGTGAGGTATGGCCAGGGGCCACGTCTCCTTCAGAAGACTCCTTGAAACAAGGTTGGAGTCCGCAGAAGTGTTCCCTTGGGCGAGTCAACGCTTCCGGCGCCCTGGATCTGCCTGCGTGGGTCTCCGCCAGTTGATGCGTTGGTCGGGAACCGTCCTTGCTAGTTGAAAAAAACCTCACGCCTTGGCTAACTCATGCTCGTCCGTTGTTGGTATGTGCGCTCCAGGCTTCACCTTCCATGGGAGCAAAGATCTGTAGGCAGCCATTCATGGCGGACAGTCGAGGTTTTGACTTTCTTGAGCTGCGATGGAGACTGGACCGGTGGCAGAGTGACAAGGAGCTGCGCGAGCAGCGCTGTACTGGAGTTGGCAGAACTCGTGCTTGGGGTCGCTCGCTGCGCAGGTAGCAGATGGATCGCCGGAGATTTCTGTCCCTCGCGTCACGACCGGTCTTGGAGCAGTGGACCCAGGAGCTCTCAACGGTCATCCCCTTCTTCTCTAGAAGCTGGTCTGGATTCCGCCATTTTTACAGATGGGAATTCCAGATCTGATTCTTTTCCCTTCTTAGAACAGTTTCTTGGCTGTTTTTTTTTTTTTTTTGTATTTTGGATGAATTTTGGATGTTTTTGGAAGGTTTTTTCGCTTAATTATACTCAAACTCTCAATGGAGAGTTGAGCTATGGTGTGAGGTGTGAGGAAGAAGATGATGAATAGTAATTGTGTATTGCCACTGAGAGTTAGGAAATAGGGTTACAAGAGGCTCCAAGTGGAGTATAAATAGAGAAACAATGGGCTTGGGCTGTGTCTCTAATATTGGTCCGAAAAACCCAACTACATCAATGGCTAATCTAGTAGATACAAGTGATATAAAGACTGTACAATAATGTATTACTTTCGTAACGTAAAAATTTTCACATTTCAAAAGTAGGTAGATTAAGAATAGTGAAAGAGGATATGAATTATTGAAGGTATGAGAGGAAGATAGTGAAATAATATGATGGAATGTGGGATAAATCCAAAAAAAGTAGTTGTAATAATGTATTATTTTCAGAATTATTGAGGGTATGATGGGAAGATTTAGAAATGTGAACATTTTTTTTATTACGGACGAAAAATGAAAGTGGAAAGATTTTTATGTTACGGAGGGAGAAAAATGTTACTCCGTCCCTAATATCTTTGTCAAGTTTGACTGGCATGGGGATTAATAAAGTAAAAACTGTGTGGTTGGGGTTTGTGCAGAGGAAGGAGAATTAACTGGAACCACGAATTCTTTATTGAAAAGGGAAAACGTCAAAGTTAATGAAACATCCAAAAAGGGAAAGTTGGCAAAGTTATAAGGGACGGAGAGAGTATTTAGTAAGCGTGTGTAGGCCGTTGTTCAGACCCAATAGTCATGAGATGTGGGGGCCAAGTCTATATACTTTATCAACTTATATCAAATTTCAGCTAAAAATTCGAATGGGGGAGGCAGTCAAATGAATCTTTGAAGATAACTGTGCAGTTAAACAGCGCAGTACATTTCAAAAAATCATTTGATTGTCTTCCTGGTTGAATTTTTATCTGAAATTTGGTATGAGTAACCTAGACTTAATGAAGAAGATGATTAAAAATTTGACGGCCGGATAGAGCCTCCTATATAAGGGGTGAATTGCACTATTTTAGTTAGTTCGAGCGTCTATTTGACCCTTTAGCCTTTTATGTATTACATATTTGTGTCATGTCATATGAAAGATCATAAAAATGAGTTTTCCCTCCCAAAATATTGTTAAATAAATTAATATTTATATATGGCAGCTTATGGCTAGGCATGGACCAAACGGGGTTCGGGCCTAGGCCCGGGACCGGGACCGGCCCGGATTGCCACCGGGTCCGGTTCGGGCCGGGCCAGACCTCGGTCCGGGCTTCGGGCTTGGTTATAATATTTTTTTTTCTTTCCTAAGTACCTCCAAACGTAGTCATTCGTGGCGAATTGGGTTACCAAATTTCACGTATTCTTCGTTATTGTTCTTCGAGTGCGTGAGTTTGATTCCTAATAATTAGAAGCTACCACTAAGTAGGATGGCACTTTTTTACATGAACCTGCAAATATTACTCCCCTTTTTACAAGGTCTGATATTATACGGAGTACTTCGTAACATTTACACGGTCGAAAATATCATTGATTATTTGAAAGTGGAAATATAGTGGGAAATGGAAAGGAAAACATGGAAAGAAATATACTTGGTTCAAACTCAATAAATCATTTCTATATGAGGATTTATCTAAAATATTACTAATAAAATTCTGTGAATAAAAATGTGACTATAAGTTAGAGAAAATTTTATAATCACCACGATGTAATATTTGATAACAATTATAGGCACTAAAGTTATTAGAGACACATTTTTGTTCAATACTTTTATTTTGGTTATATATTTACAATTATTTCTTTTTAATTTTGATGCTTATTATTTTAGAACTCGATTAGACTTTCCAACTAACTATGTATAAAAGGCTAAGAATGAAATGAAATACAATTTTTATTGATCAAATCAAATATTCTGAATCACACTTTGTACTATATAAAAATGAATAATTATATCATTTAAATGTATGTTAGCTCAAAACATTCTAACGGTCTGACGAAAAAAATGAATACTTAATTTGTTTGTGCATGAGAACTATAGCTTATAGAACCAGTCATTTGTAGCCACAAAACTAGGAGGTTGCCTAATAATTAGTAAATACGGTGGGACAGTTAAATGAGAAAATTAAATAATTTCATTTTCCGCTTTGCTATATTGTAGTGTTCCTTAATTTGTTTTATTTTGCTACCACATATTCTTTTTTTTGTTGCATGCAGATTGAAAATTTTATTTAAATGTCATCATAAAAAGACCTCTAATTGTCTTATGCCATAAGAAAACTGAAACTGATAAGCGAAAATGATGAAGGATGTGTCCAAAAGTACTAAAAAGGACCCATATTTACCCTGGGCCAACTACACACTAAAATTCTAAAAACATTATATAAATTTTTTACAGAAAAGGGGCAAATAAGTCCTCGAACTATTTGCAATTCTGCAATCAGGTCCCTGAACTTGAAGAATTGCAGATACACCTCTCAACTCATTGAAAATGATGCAATCAGGTCCTTTTTACCTACTGGTGCCGGTAATATTTCATCTTCTTACCCCCCCACCAATAGGTAAAAAAGGATCAGATTGCATCATTTTCAATAAGTTGAGGGGTGTTTATGCAATTCTTCAAGTTCAGGGGCCTGATTGCAGAATTGCAAATAGTTGGAGGGCTTATTTGCCCCTTTTCTCAATTTTTTAAAAGCAACAATAGTGTGAAACTGTGAACATAACGATTAAAATCTATTAAAATTCATAGTCATATTTTTAAACAATACATACAATGTTTGAAACTAAAATGTTAACTGAACACGACGGTCCCTGTCATAGATGATTTTGCCAACATCTTTAAAGACCTTAGCAAAATCATCTATGACAGACTCAATGTCAATTTTGTTGGCAAATTCCATTCAATAAAGATGGTCAAACGATTGGAAAGAAATTCATCTTCCATTTTGTTACGAATTACATTCTTCACGTGTTTCATTGCAGAAAATGATTTTCCTGTTGTTACAGTCCAAACAGTTAAAATCAATACAAGATGAATTAATCTTGTAACCAATTTGAAGTGTTCAGCACTTTCCCAGATCCAGCTCAATCTTGTAACCTACTAAAATTATCAATAAAAAAGAATCACAAATCGCATTTAACATTCCTAATTTTATATAATACAATTACACAAATAAATAATGACACACTATTACACTAAGTCACTAACCCACCCTAATTTATTAATTTAACAAATAAAATACTTAATTAATCCGCAGACGAAAACCTCACCTTGACAAATTGGCTTTGTCGATACTGGAGACCAAGAGAAGAAGACAAGCAGACATCAATCCGCGGACGAGCAGACGACACCACAGGCTCACGGCGAGTCAGCGAGCACCTTAGGGTGCGTCTCCAACGATTTGGAGAGTAGACGGAGAGACGGTGCGCCGGAGTTCGGAGACGTCCGGCGATGCGGCGGTGCTGGGGTACTGGCTGGTGCGGGAGTGCGGAGTGCGTCAATTGCGTAATGCGTTGCGTACTTGCGTGATGACTGAAGGCTGAACCCGTCTCTGGCGTCTCCGCGTCTGGCTGCTGCTGCACGGCTTGAGCAATGCTTTGCCTTAGTGGTGGACTGTTTTTTTGCATTGGGCCTTTCTACCCTGGGCCAATTTATTTTTTGTACTGGACCAATTTCTAAAAAACATTTAAACTATGGGTAATTCTATTCACAACCCTCTTTTTACTAAATACAGCCACTTAATTAATAAAAATATATCAATTATCTAAACTATCCTTACTCTACTATCGTTAACCTCTATCTTTAACTTCCCGTCAAAGTCATTAGATCGCACAGAACGAGCGCTAGAACGCAGAAGGAAGAAAGTCGTAAACACAATTGAAGAATCCTCTATTACCCTAGTTCTACACTTCTACACGGGGTTAGTGTCACATCTATGCTCGTATTTCATTTTTCTACAGAATGTGTAAGCATCCAAATTAATCACAGAAACCAAGTGATGCCCACCAATCAAGCATATGAACTTGAACGGGTTGGAAATCAAAAGCAAGAGTTCATTAATCATCACATACACAATCACAAACAATTGTTTTTAGCAGCCTGCTTAGAAAACTCAATAGATAACACTTTGCCAATACACTAAGAAGAACAAGCTCAGGATGCAAGTGTCTTAATTGTTCAGAAGAGAGCTGTTGTTTCTGAATGGATGTCCACATGGGTACCTTCAACCAGCAAGGATCTTTGGCTTATTTTTTTTATTGTTGGTGATGAAGGCATCAATTTCCTCACTATGTAATCAACTGAAACCATATATTTCTCCAGATGCAACAAAAAGGTAAGTGCCGTTTTTGAATCCCAGTACTCGCAGCATCAGACCCACTTTGTGTGGTGTCAAAGGGCATTTCCCTCTCATCCTCTCTTCATCTGTGCTAGCCACATGAATCTCGGCCGTGAGTAAACGCTCCTAGTTTGAATTCTAGATCCGCTGGGTATACCTATGGACTCGGCCGTCTTCTCCGTTGATAGCTTGAATTCCAGATCTCCCTTTTTTGGTTCTCCCTTCTTTGGAAATTTCAGACATGAGCTGAATAGATGGAGTGTGTGGAAGATACGAGAGACGTTAGAAGGAGCGTTAAGTTTCAAGGGCCTGAATGGGATTATAAAATATGGGGTGTGTGTTTAGTAAAAAGGTGGCTGTGAATAGAATTACCCTTAAACTATATACTCCGTATGTATATAATAAAAAACAAAGTTACCCTGGGCCATGACCCAGCCCGGCCACCCCTCCCTCCGCCCCTGATGTCTAAAAAGCAACAAAATTATCATCGTGGATCCAATCACCTCTCACAGTTTAAAATCCACGACATTTGCAATATATTCGCGGACAAGTTCCTGAGTGGCATCCATAACTATGCATCGTGGCAAATTGGTCATTTAAAATTAGAGTGACTTATTTTTTCTAAAAAAATACTCCCTCCATTTCTAAAAGAAAGTCACGGTTTGACTTCACGATTATTAAGGAAATAAATTGACTTTACTGTAGAAAACACTGTTTAGACACTGTTTGGACACTGTTTGGCACTGTTTGGCACTGTTTGACACTGTTTGGATGTAGATTTCTTTGCCAAATAAGGAAATAAGGGAAGTGTGACTTTTATTTTGGCACATCCAAAAAAGGAAAGTGTGAAGTTCTTTTAGAAACGGAGGGAGTAACTTTTTTGGAGGCAAACACTCTCGCGCCTTGCGCGAGCAAACACTAGTAGTCTAGTACTAATATATTTATCAATGTCGTTGAAACTATTAATGATTGATTAAAATAGCTACTTTTAGTGATTAATTATTGAAATTAAGTTTATTAAGTTTATCCCATTATTAGAAGATTCATAAACCAGAATACTAGCAGAAGGCAGAAGCAGGTACAGCAGCACAATTACAACAGTACAAATGTATAATATACGGAGTGATCAGTTAGGAGTAGTGTTTGACATGAAAAAGATTTAAATGCACACAAATATACAGCTCATATAATGATCCTGTTATGGACACAAATATAGTTACATACAGTTCGGATGCACACAAATATAGTTACATTAATGAACAGCCAAATAAAGTGATAAAGAGTTTTTCTTTCAATTCCTTCTCATATGAAAGTCCCAATAGGCTGTTAGGGAATTGAGAAGGCTGATTATAAAAAGAATCAACTTCTTTGGTAGGCATGGACCCGGTTCGGGCCGCCCGGCCCGGGACCGGCCCGGCCCGCCACTGTGCGGGCCCGGAACCGGCCCGGTTCTCGGGTCCGGGTCCGGGTCGGGCCTAGGCCCGGTGGGGGGGCGGGTCCGGGCTCTGTATTTGGCGAACCGGCCCGGCCGGGTCGGGCCCGGGTCCGGGCCAAAAAAACTGTTTTTTTTTATTGTTTCATTTTTTTGGGCTTTATTGAGTTGTGCTTGATGTTTAGGACCGATTTGGGGGGTTTGGGGGGGTAGGGGGTGGGGGGGGGGAAGAAAAGAAAAAAAAATAAACTAACCGGGTGGCCCGGCCCGGAACCGGTGGCCACCGGTTCGGGCTCGGGCCCAACAAAACAGACCCGAGGCCCGGCCGGGCCTAGGCCTGAACTGGGCCCGAACCGGCCCGGGGCCATCCCTATTCTTTGGTATTTGACAAACTTTAAATTATCTGTAGCAAATGCCAAGATCAAATTTGATCCAAAACCATGTCATGAATTCCATGCGTCTTTCCAAATTATCAACATTTATAAATTATGATGAAACTGTCGAGGGTCACAAGTTCACAACGACCCTGCTTCAAGCAGGTTTCTTCTTCTCAAAAGTCTATCTACCCATGTGATGATTTGAAAGTCTTCTTTACAAGACATTGGTCAAGGTGAGTGGTTTTATAGATTTTAAATACCCGGTCTACACCATCAAGGGCAATGTTAAGAAGCAAAACCGGTATTAAGAATTAGATCCAAACGCCCCTAAATATGTCAATTTGGGTCGACTAAATATGGAGATTTACGAACATGTTGACCTAAAGAGAACATGTCTCACACTCTCACATAATTTGAAAGCCAAGTTCCATTTTCTTATAGTTTTTTTTTTTTTTGAAAGGAAACTCATATTAATTCATTTCAATTTCTACCAGCATAATAATACTTTCTGGTAGATCATTTACAAATGTTTGTTCTACACCATTGTCTGGCATCATTCTTGCCTTGGAGGCTTAAAAGTTATACCTTCCATAGTTCCATTTCTTGTAGTGCTGGACTCGGGCCGGGCGGCCCGGCCCGGAACCGGCCCGGCCCGGTTACTGTTAGGCCCGGCCCGGCCCGGGGCCCGGTGGGTCCACCGGTTCGGTTCGGCCCGGCCCGGCTGCTGGGCGGTTCGGGCCCGGGCCCAGGTTTTGGTGAACCGGCCCGGCCGGTTCGGGCCCGGTCCGGGCCGGATTTTAATTTTTTTTTTTTTTTTTTTGAAATTTTTTTAAGTTTTAGGTTGGATTAGGTATTTTGGGCCATTTGAGGTGGTTTGGGATGGTTTGGGGTTGAGGGGGAGGGGTAGGGGATTAAATAGGAGACCAAAAAAAAAAAAAAAAATTAAGTGGGCCGGTTCGGCCCGGCCCGGCCCGGCCCGGTTTGGCCCGGAACCGGAACCGGAACCGCCCACCGGCGGTTCGGGCCCGGGCCCTAGTTTTCTGGCCCGAGGCCCGGCCAGGCCCAGGCCCGAACCGGGCCCGAACCGGCCCGAGTCCAGCCATAATTTCTTGAGAAGATAAAACGTCCAGGGTATTAAATATATTTGTTACAAAGTTTTCTACATCGGAACAATAAAGAGCATGGCAAATATGGAATAAGAAATAATTACGCCGCCTAAATTTAATAATTTCATTTTTGCTAATGCCATAATCTGTTCGTCCAAACTGTTTTCACATTTCCTACACACTTCTGAGTTCCACCTGTATAGATATGTTTGAACAAATGATTTGAGTTCTTCACAATCTGTCCTAGAATCTCAATAGGTAACTCATCTTCATCTCGATAACTTCTACAAAACCATCTAGCTAGAAGCGTAGAAGAACAAGAGTGATCAACAACCGGATGCTCAGACGTTTAGGAAAAGGAGCCATGAATGGGTTATTGATGTATGTTGGCAGAAAACCTAATGATGATGATGACAAAAAGCTAGGTAAGATTAGCAAGCTATTGGAATTGGTTGATCCCATGGATTTCATCGACTCCAAGGGCAATATCCTAAATTCAAATAAGCCAATCCATCATCCCTATAGTAAGGAAGACTTGCTCTGCGCTTGGGATTTTATTTGTGAGCTCGAAAGTCTGCTTTTCTATGATCCCCTGATAGCATCCTCAGCTATGAAAATCAGGATTTCAATATGATTTTGCCTGCTCGTATGGATATTCCTGAATGTGGTATACAATGTCAGAAAACGTATCAAATTCCTTACGAAAGATGCTCGTGATTAGATTGCTGCTATTTATGCTTTAGCTAAGGCTCAATACATCAAGTATGAGAATGATGAAAAATGAGGCTATAAAATGGGCTGTTCATAGGGTCTCAATGTTCAAAGCCGGTTGGTTCAACTCCCAGAGCCACACTTAGTATGTTTTTGCTTCCAGATAACAATTGATAATCATGGACAATGTTGGGAGCTGGTAGTGCTGGACTGCTTTTATTCTCTCTTTTTGTTTGAAACACGAAAAACTAAATATATGATAGACGAGGAATAAACACACAATTTTTAACCAGTTCATTGCAAAAGTCAGGGAAAATTTCATAGACCAAAAAGGCATCAAACAAAGTAAAACTGAAAAAGAAATAAACCTATGCTGTTAGGAGGACGGCACCACCGGCCGCCTTAATCTTCCTCTCAGCCGTCTTAGAGATGAGCTTCGCCTTCACCACAAAGGGCTGGGATGGCGGCAAGACACCCTTACCTAACACCTTAAAGTAGCCGAACTGGGTGACGTCAACAAGGGGAGCGGAATCCTTGCTCTTGGCCGCCTTTTCCTTCGCTTCCGGCGGGAGAAGGGACCAGATCTTGTCGATGTTCACCGTGGGGCAGAAGAACTTGTTCCTCAGCTTGTGGAAATATCGCATACCGACCTTCCCGAAATAGCCAGGGTGATACTTGTCGAAGAGGATCCGGTGGTGATGCATACCGCCGGCGTTACCGCGACCACTGGGATGTTTGCGGTGCTTACCAATCCGCCCGTGACCGGCGCTGACATGGCCGCGCTTCTTCCGATTCTTCTTCAAACCGGTCGTCATTTCTGATTCTGTTGGAAAGGGTTTGGGAAGTGAGCGTTGGACTGATTTTATTCAGTAATACTCCGTACAAGATCTTGGTCGTCATTTCTGCTTCTAGGGCTTGTGAAATTAAGATCCTGCTACGAAAGGATACCCAGCCCATAATACAAACGTGAATACTCCGTAGTATTTAACGGCCCATATAATATTTATTCTGCTACCAGATATTCAGATCTGATTTATTTTGAATGTGGCTAAAAATAGAATCGGTATTATACAATTTAATCCGGTTCCTATTAACACAGTACCGGTTTCTCAAGTTAATTTTTTTGAAAGGAGTTAAAGATCTGGTTACTTGAAATATATGTACAAGGAATGATTTAGTTAATCAAATTCGATTTTTAGGACCTAGGATCAAGATTTTTCCTAGGCTTGTTTTAATAATTATTAATTACTTTTGTAAGGGAATTAATAGAATAAATTTATCTCATACCATTAAAATTTGTCAGATTGCCCTAATCTGCTTGAATTATGAAATTCAAGATGAGGCTATTGAATCTGAAGTGTAAAAGAGTTATATTAAAGTAGGCATGACAATGGGTCGGGGCGGGTACTTCAAGACCCAGACCCGCCCTTTGACTTCACTGGGTGGACCCGCCCCCGCCCAGTAACCCGCACAGGTCCACAGTTGTTGACCCATAACCCGCCCTGCAGTGACCTCCTAATTAGCTAGAATGTATTTTATGATTTATTATATGCACACATATGTATATTAAAGTATATTGAATCTATGTATACATGTATATTGAGCAGGTCGGGTCGAGCGGGTCAGGGCGTCACGGGTGAATACGAATACCCGGACCAGTCCCATTGTATAGGCGGGGCGGGGTGGACCCGCCCCATTTGCAAGACGGGGCGGGACGGACCCGCCCCCAAATGGCCCCGGCCAGGGTAGGTCATTGTGGGCCGGGTTTGTTTGACATGCCTATATTAAAATATACTTTACTAATAAAATAAACTAATAAATTTATGAAAAAAATAGTTCAGTAGTTCTCTTCATTAAATTTAGTTAAAAAAGTAATTGCAACCTTACTTATTTTACTTATTACAAAATCCAACTCGTGAAATAAAAAAATTACTCCGTATGTTTTTATTTAAAAAAAAATATGTTGATAAGTCAGAAAGGTAGGGGTTGACCCAATTGGCTCTAAAATTATACATAAAGTCATAATAAAGTTAAAAAAAAACTATTGAGATTATTAGTTGTATATTCAAACAAAATGAGCACAATTAATTATCCAACAAAAGTATAAAACGTTTAAAACACTTGTAGAAAATTGTGAAGATAATTCTTATGAGTGACTGATAAGTGATGTTGCACACAAACATTTAGTTGTTGCTATTATTTTCCTTATGAGTTATGACGGGGCACAGGTATCGTTATATCAAACACCTTCAAAGTAATTGATATTTAAAGATAATGAAATGAATATAAAATTAAACAAGAACAACATTTTAACAAATCAATAAAATATGCATGATTGAAAATATATAAATTGCTCACACAATGACACACAAATCTTAGTTAATAACACAAGTGAATACAAAAACGCTCAAAAGTTAAAATGAAAATTAAGTGGATGATGTAAATTAGATTTATCACAAACTGGCAGATAGCAAGTGAGACTCTGATCCTGATACTTGCGGAGCTCTAATGCATTTTCACATAATAAATTCTCATCGCAGTTGCTGAGATTCGGACTCGAGATTTACCGCTTCTGGCACCCCATATCTACCAGTTGAGCTACGTCTACTGATAGAAAAAATACCTAATGTGTTTTGCCGTTGGGGTTGTGTCTCTTTTTAAAATTCTCAAATAAATTTTAATGATTTACTACGGAGTAATACATATATTTTGTATTAGCACATTTTCCCCCAAAACACATATAAAATATCATAACATATACGGAGTATAAAAACAATAATTCTTGTGTCTAAAAACATTGATATTTTTTGTGTATAACGATTACTCATCTTGTTTGCCCTCCATCTAGAAATGCCACTGGTTAGAGCCTTAGAGGTCCACACACATATCTCACTCTGTTTTTTCATCAGGGATGATAACAAACCTCACTTGATCTCAAAATAACCTGATTAATACTTCGTATATTTTGTGTAATTCTTTGTCATGTTATTTATAAAGCATTTAACTTTATTTTTTGGAAGGTTTTTAATATATTTATCTTTACAATGTGAATAGTTTAAACATTATTTTAACTCTCATTTATTGAGCTATACTTGTAGAGTTGTAGAGTTGTAGGCATATACGGAGTATCTCTCATAGTCCCGTTTCTTGAGAAGATAAAACACCCGAGGTATTTAAATAGATGTGTTACATAGATTTGTACTTTGGAACAATAAAGGGCATGGAAACACGGAATAAGAAATCATTATGCCGCCTAATAATCTGCTCGTCCAAACCGTTCTAACATTTCCTGCACACTTATGAGTTCCACTTGTATATAAATGTTTGTACATATGAATATATGATTTGAGTTCTTCACAAACTGCCCAAGAACCTCAATAGGTAAATCATCTCCATATCGATAACTTCTACAAAACCATCTAGCTAGAAGCGTAGAAGAACATGAATGATCAACAACCGGATGCTCAGACGTCTAGGAAAAGGAGCCATGAATGGATTTTGGATGAGTTTTGCAGAAAACCTGATGATGACGACAAAAAGCTAGGTAAGACTAGCAACCTACTGGAATTGGTTGATCCCACGGATTACATCGACTCTGAGGGCAATATCCTAGACTCAAATAAGCCAATCCCTCATCCCTACACCAAGGAAGACATGCTCAATGCTTGGGATTTTATTCGCGAGCTCGAAAGTCTGCATTTTTATGATCCTGAAGAGAGCATCCTCGGTGATGTAAGTCGGGATTTTGATATGATTTTGCCAAATCGTATGGTTATTCCCGAATGTCCTATTCAGAATGTTGGAAAAGGTATTGAATTCTTTACGAAAGATGCTGATGATTTGATTGCTGCTATCTATGCTTTAGCTAAGGCTCAATACATCAAGTATAAGAATGATGAAAATGAGGCTATAAAATGGGCTGTTCTTAGGGTCTCAATGTTCAAAGCCGGATGGTTTGACTCCCAGAGCCACACTAAGTATGTTGTTGCTCCACCTGACTTCAAAAAGACATTCATTACGGACGGGGAGGCGATGAAAGGATTAGACGAGCAGGCGTGGCAACTCTCTTCTTTTTTTCCTTTTATGAATGAGTTCTATTTTCGATCACTTGGATCATATTATTGTGCTGATACTGCTGCTGATTTCAGTGCAAAGTCTAAACAATTTGCTGTGTCTTCCCAAATGGGTAATATCTTAAGCTATTTTCCTGAAGACGTCTTATTTTATCATGCTTTTCGCTGGATCGGTGTGAAAAGACCAATGCAAGTGCTAAGAGCTGATCCTGGTAACCAGAGAATACCTTCTGCCTTCAGAACCCGTGTTAACGCCTCTCCGTGCGGTCAAGCAGTTATCACTTCAATGCATGCTGTCATAAAAAAAATTATATCTTTTGGCTACTTGGATGAGGTCAAAAAATACACTCATTTTGATTACACTAACTTGTCCAGAGTTGCTGAAAAGATCTTGAATGATCCTTGGAAATACCACATGTATAGAGACATTTATGAAGCAGAAGCTCTTACTGAGGCAGAGTGTAGGGATGTTGAAAAGGCTAAGGAGGATGCCATTTCCTTTGCACCATTTGTCCAGGCTTTCTGTGATGTTTTCTTGAAAAATTCAAGTCTGGGTAAAATCAAAGCCCTCAAGAAGCATGCTGCAGCCAACCCGTTTATTTATCGTAGGGAATTGAGTTTCTTTAGGAAGGATTCCAGGAAGAAGCGACGTCGACATGCTTCGAAGGCTGAGAATGCTCAGTTAACCAATGTAACAGGCTAGATGGAGCTGATTACTTCAGCTAGTTTTATGATAACTCATATTTTTGCTGATCATGTAGCCCTTTTTAAACAATGCTTTAAATTACTGTTTTTTTTTAACATTATGGAATTTTCAGTTCCTACTTGCTAGCCCGCTAACTGTTTTTGAGGCACTGAAGTGTTTGGGAAAGATGGTGGTTTTGATTCCTGATAACAACGGATAATAGTGTAGAATGTTGGGAGCAGGGAGAGCTGGCACTGCACCAGGTCCCGACTGCTAAAAATTAAACCTAGTAGTGAAAAACAAGAACCAGAACCATTTCGGGTATGTGAAAAACAAGCCTGCACGGCTGCACCGGTCTGATTGTACCTTATATAGGAGGTTCTGTCCAGCCGTAGCCAATTGGGGCGGTTCCCGGTGGAATTTTTTGATGAAATTTTTTGAGAATCTTCTTCATCAAGTCTAGTTTATCCATACCAAATTTTAGTTAAAAATTCAACCAGGAAGGCAGTCAAATGATTTTTTGAAGATAACTGTGCAGTTAAACAACGCAGTACATTTTGGAAAATCATTTGACTTCCTTCCCGATTCAATTTTTATCTGAAATTTGATATGGGTAAACTAGACTTAATGAAGAAGATGCTCAAAAAATTTCATCAAAAAATTCAGCCGGGAACCGCCCCAATTGACGACGGCCGGACAGAACCTCTTATATAAGGGGCTAATTGAACACTTTAAGTTAGTTCATGTACCTATTTGATCCTTTAGTCTTATGTAAATAATAAAATCTGGAATCTGAACAAATTCAGAACGGATTTCCGGGTACTTTTAAACTTATTTACCAAATGAGGGCAGTTTTTTCCCTGTCATTCAATTTCCGCTACATCACCTAATCCACATCATTCACCGTCATCAATCATTCCACGTCATCAGCCATATGGGTATTCTTTTAAAATATAAAATAATTCATAGCCCCCGGGAATTGAACTCACAACCAAAATGATGAATTTGCCTCTTGGAACCCACTAGGCTACATTGACTTGTTGGTACAATCACACCTTTACAAATATTTAACATCTATGTATGCAACGTATTTTGATATACGCAATTCAAATATAATTTAAAATAACTCTACATTAATTAAATAAAATGAGAAACAAAAACAACAACGGCCGAACTAATTCATCCCATATTTAATAAAAAAATCTTATATTACTAATGCGTAAACGTGTAAAAATATAAATTCCATGACAAAAATTAAAAAAAAAACACTGAAATACAATTTTTTACAATCACAATATAAGTATTTTACAAGTATATTGAAATTTATTTGACATATACTACATACTATATGTTTAAGCACATGACATCACCAACTTAATTCATATATTAATCGTTCCTTTAGAGATATATTAGTCATTCTTCAAACAATTAAAGAATATGATAACATAACATTAAAAGAAGAATATGATAAATATTTAATTTGTGATATACAATTAAAAAAGTAAAACTCAAATAAAAATTATAACAAAAACGTAATTTGATATATGCTATACAAAAATAACTTAAAATAAATCTACTCTAAATAAAATAAAAAATAAAAAATGTAAATATAGGTTCAAATCCATCTCAGACTTGTGAAATACTTATATTATGATTGTAAAACCAATTGTATTTCAGTGTTTGATTTTTTTTATTTTTGTCATGGAATTTATATTTTTACATGTTTACGCATTAGTAATATAAGATTTTTTTTTATTAAATATGGGATGAATTAGTCCAGCCGTTCTCATTTTTGTTTCTCATTTTATTTAATTAATGTAGAGTTATTTTAAATTATATTTGAATTGCATACATCAAAATACGTTGCATGCATAGATGTTAAATACTTGTAAATGTGTTATTCTACCAACAAGTCAATGTAGCCTAGTGGGTTCCAAGATGCAAATGCATCATTTAGGTTGTGAGATTGATTCCTGGGCGCTATGGTTTTTTTTATATTTTAAAAGAATACCCATATGACTGATGACGTGGAACGATTGATGACGGTGAATGATATGGAGTAGGTGATGTGGCGGAAATTGGATGACAAGGTAAAAACTCCCCTCATTTAGTAAATAAGTTTAAAAGTACCTTTAATTGGGAAATAAGATTGGAGACTACCCTCCTTTAGAAAAAAACTCGGTTTACCAAGGGCTAGTTCGTTATGGTTGTGTGTTTTGATAATATTGTTTTTGTTTTGAAAAACACTTCCAACTACAATGATACGTCCAAACAGAAGCAACTTTTACTGCACTTGTTTTGTTTTGTTTTGTTTTGTTTTATACTTCTGTTTTTAAAGAAAAAAACTTGGAAACAATCGTCAATCAAAGGGCTCGAAGTTAACGTTTTGGTCACTCGAAAGTGATTGTCCATAGTTGGAACTTAAATCAACCCAAGTTCCACACTTAGGGCCGTTTGTTTAAGTAAAATTTTAGGATATTTGTAATTAGACTATAATTTTTTGCTTTGATCTAATCTAATTTGTTTAAATTCAATGTGATATATGTCAAATTTACGTACATTTTATCACTGTCAAAGTTTGAGTGTAAGATCAAATTTACTCATCTTCTCACTTACAAGTTTCTCTTAATTCAAAATGATCATTTATACATTCTCAATTTATGAATTAAAAAGAATTGATTTCACTTTTAATCTTACAAGTTATATTGATATAACATTTAATCTTTCATTTGTTCAATTGTGGCACTCTGTCCAATTTTTTGACACCTCTTTAATGATTTTGACCGCCAAAAATATAAACAAAATAATCATATATAGACACAACACAATGTCATGTATGAAAAGTGATGAAAGTAAAAAACATGGAATAATTATAAAATTGATGTGCTACTAATAGAACCAAAAGTAAAATGTATTGGATTAAAAAGTCCTTAACCATGCACATACTACAATACACACGTAAAATGAGTGGATGAGTGACGCTCAAGGGCAATGTACAGTAGTAGTGTAACATTACAAATCAACACAAAATACGTACATTCATCAATTATAAATAGTCATGGACTCGGGTCGGGCCGTCCGACCCGGAACCGGCTCGGAACTAGTACTGTTTGGGCCGGGCCGGTACCCGGTTATAGTACCGGTCCGGGCCACCCGAGCCCAGAATTAATCAGGCCGGGCTCAGGCCTCCTAAAAGTGGAACCAGCCCGGTTTGAGCTCGGAGCCCCGAAACCGGCCCGGTTTGAGCTCGGAGCCCCGAAACCGGCCCGGCCTTTTTTTTTGTTTTTTCAATTTTTTTGGTTTCTCCCGGGTTGGTCTAGGTGTTTGGGGGGTGGGGGGGTGAGGGGGTGAGGGGGTGAGGAGGTTAATTGGAGAAGCAAAAGAAATTTAAAAAAAAAAATAACATGAACCGGCCCGGCCCAGCAGGTAGGGATGGACTCGGGCCAGGCGGCCCGGCCCGGTTACTGTTTGAACCGGCCCGGCCCGGGAACCGGTCCGGGGGCGGTTCGGGTCGGCCCGGCTCGGTTACTGTGCGGTTCGGGCCCGGGCCCTTTGATTGGCGAACCGGCCCGGCCGGTTCGGGCCAAATTAATTTTTTTTTTTGAATTTTTTGAATTTTTTTTAAGCTTTTGGGTTGGGCTTGGTATTTTGGGCTATTTGAGATGGTTTGGGGGTGAGGGGGGAGGGTTGGGGGTTAATTAGGAAAAGCCAAAAAAAAAAAATAGAACCGAGGCCCGGCCCAGCCCGGACCCGGGATTACCCGGGCCGGTTCCGGGCCTCCCATTTCTGAACCGAGGCCCGGCCGGGACCAAGCCCGAACCGGGCCCGAACCAGAACCGGTCCACCCATAGGCGGCAGGGAATCGGTGCCTACCCGGGCCGGTTCCAACTCTTCCTTCCCAAAAAAAAAAAAAAAAAACTCGGCCGGACCCGGAACCGGCCCGAGTCCATGACTGATTATAAATACTAAATGCGCATGTTAAAATTAACTTAAAAAATGTGATCGCATTATTTGACGGCTCATAAGTCATAAACAAGAATACCATCAGAAGCAGTAGCACAATTACAGCAGTACGAATGTATGTATAATATACAGAGTAAATAGTTAAGATTGTGGATGTATAACTTAAGAACAGTGCTCGACATGAAAGGGATTTAAATGCACACAAATGTAGTATAGCGGATGCAGTTCATATACAACTCTTACAAAGATCCTGTTATAAATATAGTTACAGTAATGAACACCGAAATAAAGTGAGTTTTTTTAATTCCTTCTCATTGCAAGTCCCAATAGGTTGTTAAGGAATTGAGAAGGCGGGTTATAAAAAGAATCAACTTTTTTATGTGACAGACTGAACAACACTTTGAATAATCTGTAGCAAATGCCAAGAGCAAATTTTATCTAAAACCATGTCATCAATTCCATGCGTCTTTCCAAATATCCACATTTATAAATTGTGATGAAGCTGTAGAGGATCACAACAACCCTGCTTCAAGCAAGTTTCTTCTTCTCAAAGTCTCATCTACCAATTTGAAAGTCTTCTTTACAAGCCTTTGGTCAAGGGCAGTGGTTCTATAGATTTTAAATACCCGGTCCACACAATCAGGGGCAGTGTTCTGGAAATATGACTCTTCAAATTTCTTTTTGACAAACCTATGTAAATATCATGAAATGACAAAGCACCCGCTTAGCAAAAGACAAATTTAGATTTAGATTAGACAAACTACAACCATAAGGAAAGGATTCTCTGACCAGCAAGAAAATATAATTCAAATACAGGAAATTACTAAGTCATTATTAGGACTGAGGAGACCTTATTTACTAGGTCCAAGACATTATTATAGCTATATTTTATAATCAATACATTTCCCAAGCCTTAGACAAGTCTTAGATGCTACCTCCTGCTTTATCAAATACACTTCAATAATTTGGTAACAAAAAACACTCCCTCCGTATTGAAATGTTTGCTACACTTTCCTTTTTGGAATGTATTTTAATTTTTGTTACACTTTCCCTTTTTGGGATGTCTTTTAATATTAGCTGCACTTTACCTTTGTGGTGAGTTTTCATTTTAATACTCCCTCTGTCCCCGAAAGAAGTTCTCACTTTCCTTATTTGGATGTCCCTAATTTAAGTTTCCATTTCCTTAAATGGAAAGTTATCTACGTCAAAACAGTACCAAACAGTGCCAAATAGTGTCCAAACAGTGTCAAAACAATAAAATTTAAAATTTACCCCCTGATAAGTTTACTTGCATAAAAATGTGTGAAAGTCAAATGGGGAACTTCTTTCGGGGACGGGGGGAGTAATACTCAATCACCCTAACTTTGTATACTTTTTAATTTTTATCTTCTCTTTCGTACTTTTCCACCATCTAACTTACTTTTTCTACACTATTCATCATCTCTGCTACTTTTCTCTTAAACATTGTGTCGACCCCCATTGTAGCAAACTTTTTAATGCGAAAGGAGTACAAAATATGGAAAATAATAGGAAGATTTACTGTTTACTGCAGATGAATAAATCCCAATTTCTGTGATGTGGTTGGCACAACCGTTGCAAACACAAATACAACTTATGAATTGATTTCATATTTAGAGCCCATTTGGTAACCACAATTTTCAGCTTATCAACCTTTTTAACCAACTTTTTACCAAACTCATAGCTTTTAATTTCACGAGCTGAATTGTAATAATCAATAAGTGAGGTTGGACTTACTTTTCCGGCTGAATTAGCTAAAGTTACTTTTATGGCTTAATTTTAGCTATTTATTATATATTTCTTTCTTTACTTTATTATTAAAATATATTCAAATATAATTTTTCTATCACTTAGCAGATTCAGCCAATTCAGCCGCTTCAGCCAGAATTTCATCAATTCCGGCAAATTTCAACCAACTTCGGTGTTACCAAACAGACTTAATATTTAAGAAAATTGTAACCTATAATGGATGTAATAAAGTCCCACATATACTGCAAGTAAAATATAACCATAATGTGATCACATTATAGCACAATAAAGGGGCTTACTCATATGCATGCTCAATCTCTTGTTTTCCTGAGTAAATTGGCTCATAATCTTTGAACCACTTGCACACATTGAGAGGCACCTAAATAAACAGAAGATCAAAATCCTGCTCTAAAGGGTCCGACAAGTTAATATTCCAGTACAATATGTACTAACCTTGAGCGCCTTCTTTTCAAATAAATCAAATTTGTTGAGAAATAACATGAATGATGTTTTCTGCAAACCAGAAAAATGACACAGTTCAGGGAAAAGAAAACTGTCTAGAGAAATATTAAGTTAGTGATATAGCAAAAGTATATACGATGATGAACAATATGAAGAACCTAGCTGGCTAGAGGAATACACAATGCATATGAAAAATAAAGCTAGAAGCTCATGTAACAGATCTATAATATACACCTCAAAACATGGTTGTTTCAGAACCCACTCAAAAAGTTCTTTGCTCTCCATCATCCGGTTCTTGTTTTCATCCTCAAACAGAGTTTGATCATACCTGACACAGTAATGCCAAAGATGCATGTCAACTGACGAAGATGGCCTCACTCTTAATCACGTGAGAAAAAACAAGGGTAAAATAAATAAAATACCCTAAACTTTGCATATGTGTGATATCCCGGCCTACCCCAAACTTGTCCACATTCTATAAATATCTTTTACTTTGTAAAATTGAGATATTTATGCCCCATGTTCTACCAAACCATCTAAGAAAGCACACATTTTTTTGGGAATCACACATCTTTTTTTGCCATCTAAATCTAATTAACATATTTTAATTTGAGAAATATTATTTGTTCATTAAAATATGGTACAAAAAATTTAAATAAATAATGTTGGGGGTATTTTTTAAACTATGACAAGTTCGGAGTGGGGATCTCACACCATGGCAAAGTTCGGAGTATATTATTTATTTTTCCCAAAAAACAATGGCAATGCCCCAAAGTTTGAAGTCTATATTAAAATTATCTTTATCTGATTAATTATATGACTCCATAGCACATAACTGCTTTAATGCCCCAGGACTCATTGATCCTCCCAGTAAATAAATAGCCAGCAATAAAAGAGAACCCTTACTCACTAATAGCAGCACAAAATATTACAGCTGTGACACCCTCAAATAGATGGATCCACTTTCTTCTCTCATTCCTCTGACCACCAACGTCAAAAAGGCGATATACTTCACCACTCTTTTTATTCTCTCCAACTGGGCTGCAGGTAATTTGACATTTTATAAGATGTATTGCACAAAGAAAAAAAACATTGTAAATGTCATTTTTAAATGCTACCTCCATCCCAAAAAACTTTGTCGTCTTTAAAAATTTGACCAACTATATATTTTTATCGGAAAGTTTTCATAATATAAAAATGATATGAAAATGTTCTTTCTTAAAAGTACTTTCATAGGAGTACAAAAATTCATAACTTCCATAGTCTTATACTAATCAAAATCATGCTCCAAAATTTACAAGATGGCAAAGTTTTTTGAGACCGAGGTAGTACATGATTAGATAAGGAACACAAGTACGAGTGATCGCAGCCAACATGAATGACTTCATTATTTTGCACCATGTGTCAGTCATAGAAATTGAAAATGTCACTGACAAATAACACCAGGAAAGATAGCTCCAACAATTTGAGTTTTAAGATGAGAAAAGTAAATCCTACCTCAACAATTTTAGTTTTAAGATGAAATTTAACAAGTTTACCACTTCATTACCATACTACCTCAACACCCCATTTCGCAATCCTTAAAAAGTACAATAACAAATAAACACTTAAACAGTAAAATGACATTACATATTTCAAAGTATAATGCACATAGTAATGCGTCGCTAAGTGAAAAAAGGTCAGTAGTCATAAAACTCTTTTAATTTGAATCAAAAGAACAACATATTAGAAGTTTAGAACAGAAAAAACAAGGAACACATTAGGTAAAAGTTGTAACTTGTAATGACGATACATTTCATTTATAAGAGTGAGATGTTTCATCAAACAAATGGTAAATTAAAACGAACAATGTAATAGAGAATGGTCTCAGTTAACAGGAATGCATAGTAACTAGTATGAAACGATGAGGAAAAAACTGAAGCAACTAAATGGAACTTTACTTTATTTATTTATTTTTAAATTTAGTCCTACTTAGAGAAAAGCGAACATGAGAGTAGAAGTCACCTGAACTGGATTTCAACGACGCCAGTTGTTCGAATACGGGCGTATAAAATATCATCCTGGGAAATTGTAAAAAGAGGTGTATTCATGATAATAGACGAAGGTATCATTCTACAAAATATGTTTTGCTTCATATATTACGAAAGGTGATCAGTTTACCTTTGTGGGAACATAATTAGTTTCAGAAAATCTTTGTAAATTTTCCATAAAGTAATGGGCACAATCCGGAACTTGAAGCTCATGCCCGCGTGAATATGTTTCCTACAGGATGAAACAAAGTAATCAGACATGACGCTCACAATCTTACCAGGAAAACCTCAAAGGGTTTATTTTTTAAGTTAGGGAAACACAAATCTAACACGCAAAATAAAGTAACCTGTACAGCAGGGTCTTTCCAAAGAGCTTCTATCTCCTTAGCCAAATCTTTAGTCAGGAGGGGATAATCTAACCCACTACCAACTTCAGAGAGTTTTTCACCAACTTCCTGATATATAGTACCGGTAATTATTTTTCACAAATGACAAGAGGAACAGAAAATCACATTTTCGACTCTTAATATATTTTGTGCAGGCTGTAGATATCCTATTTTGCACGCCAATTATTTAATCCGTCAAGAGAATAAGGAAAAAGTGAGGTCAACAACCATGCACAATTCTATAATAATTCAAACCTTATTTTCCTCTGCGATTGCATACTTCATGGAATCATCTCCATTCTGAGCTAACTCTTTTGCCCCATCATGTAGTATCTGTTTAACACAGTAACAACACAAGAGTCCAAGATAATTCATTAGCAGTATAAGAGTCCTGGAGTGATGTCAAATAGACCCTCAAATATTTCAACACACTATTTCTACATTGTAGTCTATAATTTTAAAAAGCATATCTCAAGCACTAGAAAATTGGTGAATTTCAAAACACAGAAAGGGAAACAACCAACACACCCTTTCTTATAATTCATACTTTTATTGTCTGATAAACATTGGCATGGATGATAGGGATGTAACTCTTTAGCTCTGCATCATCAAAGCCAGTTTGAAATAAAAGTTTTATCTGCAAAATAATAAATGATTTGGGACAATTAGAGAATATTTCAGTCTACATGGAAAAATGAAGTATAAAAATATTTAAATAGTTTATATCATGCCTGTTTGAAGATTGTAGACTTCCCTGAATCTCCAGTACCTTTTAAAAGCAATGTTAATCAGTGTAAGAGCAAGAAGCACTTAAATAATGACGTAGATAGTGATTTTAGAAAATATTGGCATTGGCAAAATAAAAATTAACAAACTCATCAAACCAAATATCAAAATGCATGCAATAATGTATTGAAGAATGTTTACACTTCCTCCAAAATAAACTCTTACTCAGGAGTATATAAATGGAAGTTCAAAATGAAAAAGAAGCAAGAGTTAAATGGCTGCATCGAACTTAAGGTCTTAAGCTCAAGAAACTGAAGCTACACGCCTAAACCATCTTCATATTCTCATTCATATTGTCAAGTAGAGAGTGTAAATGTACTTGCGCGGGACATGAGCTACTATGGTTTGTGAGAGAGAAAGAAATCTAGAGGATAGTATCTATCGTATTGATCTCACCAAGTAGAAGAAGCTTTTGAATTTGCTTCTCAGCCTTAGCTTCTTGTTCAATCCTCCTTTCTATTTCTGCAGTCTGAAATATGCAAAATAGGGAACGCGATTACAATGGGTGCAGAGATAGAAGTAAGTAGATGGGAAGCTATCTCTAGCAAGAATCCATCATTTGCAATACAGCACTTACCTGTGCATTTTCATCGCAATCGGCTTGATTGTATTGCCGATGTTTACTACATAGCATACCCATACTGAATACTACTACAAAAAAACCTTGAAAGGTTCCAAAATCCAGCTCAAGACCTAAAATTTCTTCTTTACAACTCCCGCATTTTTATCTTACTATTCGCAACCAAATACAAGCACCGCCGGGTAAGAAGATTACTGCATAATGGGGGAAGTGGGGAATTGCTTCAATCAAATTGAAGCTCAGTTATATATTCTCCGCATCTCTCAATTGCTGTGAAGCACAACACGCCGAACCTATGAAGAAATCGCGTACGGAGACAGTGACAGTCGGTCAAAGACACGTGTTGGACTCCACTTGGTGGATCTTTGACTGAGCAGGAGGTCAAATGCCTCGGTATCTGGATGTAGACGGTGTAATCTGCAGCGTTGCCTGATTGCAGCGAGTTGGGTTCGGGCTTCGAGCGAAAAGCTCGACACCCGACAAGGCAGCTGTGAGAGAGAGTTATGCGGAAATGTTCAGATCTGTTTAGAGACTTTTAGGCGGAGCTTATTTGGGATTAGGGTTTTTTTTGTGCTTATTTGGGAGTGCTGATTCTTGTTACAGAGTTCGTGTTTCCGACTCGTTATGGACACTTCACCCTTGTTTGGGTTGAGGTCATGGGAATGATTAATAATGGAAGTGTTAGTATAAATGTTGATACTAACATTTATGTGGGAGAAAAATTAAGAGGTATTAAGACGTATTAGAAAAGGTTAGGAAGTGTTAATAATAACATTTTCAATACCTAAATTGTTCACTTTTTTAACATTTTGGTTTGAACTGTTTTGACATGTTGGACAATTATTACTCTTCTCATTTATCCTAAAAACATAAAACACTTCGATATCTCACTTTGAATCTCTTTGACGCATGTTTGATGGTCTGCCTTTTTCATCTCTTCTCCTCACTCATTTCATATCTTCTCCTTACTCATTTCTTCTGCCTCAAACTAAATTATTAACACTTCCATTATTAACACTTCATTCATTTGACTTTCCCAAACAAGGTAAAATTATGTCTAACACTTACACCTCATTTCCCTTCTGGGCCCTTTCTAACACTTACTAACACTTCCATTACTAACATTTCCAAACATTCCATCTAAATAGGACCTTCAAGTGTGTGAAAGATTTGAAGTGAAAAGTCAAATTGGAAAATAGAAATGATGAGGCACGAGGGTGCTTGGAACTGATTCTCCTTTTTTAAAACAGAAACATAATCAGAATCAGTTTTCAAAAACTGTTCTCCCCCAACTTAAAAAAAAACTGATTCCAAGAGTAAATTAGAGCACCTGAATCACTTCTGCACTTTCACCCATACACTAATACTTCTGCTTCTGCTCCCTGAATGAGCAGAATCAGTTTTAAGAATCAGATCTAAACACCCCCTAAATATATACTATGTACTCCCTCCTTTCCCAAAAATTCTTCCCGGTTTGAATTGGCACGCCTATCTATTATAATCTAAAAGCAAAAGAAATGTGGGGATGCAATTCCCGCTCAGAAGTGTGAACATCAACATTTTTATTTTTTTTGTGAAGAAATACATTCAAATTAATTCATAACAAGAGGTGGCGTGAAATTTTAAAATATTGTTTGGTGTGTTTTTATTGGTCAAAAGAGAGGTGGGGACTGTAGCCTTAAAATGGTTGGGTTGGAAGTATTTTTGAGAAAATGCTTGCTGTGTTCTTATTGGCTAAATCAGAGGTGGGCACTGTTCCAATAGCTGGGACGCATGAACATGTTCTTATTAGTAAAAAAAATATACGAACTGTTCACAAAGATTAGTGGGGTCGCATGCATTCTTCTTTATAGTTTGATGTGTTTTTATTGGTCAAAAAACTTTCAGCACTATTCACAATTTCAAGATATAATCTCCTATAGGTTGGAAATGAGGTGTACACAGTAATTGGACTTTTCATCTCACCTATAAAATATTTGTGACAATACATCTCAATGAAAAAATCTCCGGAAGTGACAACACATACGATTTGAGTACATATTCCCCATCATGTTCTCCTCTAATCACATACGTAGTATGAATGACTGTATTGCTATAAATACATATTTTTGAGCTACCAGATTCACAATCTTCTCTCTCAAACATAACATATGGGCATTAGACATTTCTTGAAACTCATTTGTTGCTATAAGTACATGCTTCGTGGTTGAAGTTCACTCACACTCACCCACACTTTCTCACCACAAAATATTAGGATCAAATATTGTATATAATGTTGAATGACAACTGCAGGAGAAATGTTAAAAAACTGCAGGGAAACTACATTTGTGGAGATATTATAAAATCACCAATCCAGATCCTATCATTCTTATTCTTCAGTGTTGCGAGGAAAGCGAGTATCAAGGTTGGTGTGTTTTAGTCATGGTTAATTTTTTATTATCTTTCTGTATAATCTGTTTTAATCAGCACATTCATTGCACTTGCCTTATACTTCGTATTATCACTAAACCAGGACGGCACCAAAGCTGGAGGAAGATATGGTGTCTTTTTCTTTTTTAACAGAATCAGACTTTGAAGATCATACCTGTAATGGGAAGTTGCAGTTGGTGACAGTTGATCATCTTAAGAAAATAAATGAGGCATATAAGTTCAACTATTAAACAGATTATTTGGTTATTACATGTACTAATAAAACATTCCATATCCATAATTGAATAAATAAATGCATACCTTGAACTCCAAATGATGTGCATTACCTACTTATGAGCTGTTATAAACCCATGCATTACCTACTTCTGAGTTGTTATAAACTCTTTACAACACATTATAAAAAGTAATGGCCTTCGGCGTATATTATTTATGGCTACTCCAGGATAAAGAGAAACATGTTCTTGATTGCAACTTAAACAATGCGTAACCATACAGAGTCGATAAAAATCATGCTTAAAACGGGTTCTGTAGCATCTTCTAACACCGGTAAAAAGACATTTTATATCATCTATATACTACTCTTTTTGTTTGGTTTAGTTAGTCTTAGTTTTATGACTTTTATCCCATGTCTTTAAACAATGAATACAAAAAAAGAACTTAGTTAGGCCATTAGATCAAAGATAAAAAGTATTTAAAATAATGTGTAATTTGAAGAAAATGCTTAATAGATTTGCAAAACACCTTATATAACTTGATATGTTTTAAGAAGTAGGGAGTATATCATTTTAAACAGATTGATTTGGAGACTATAAACGAAATCTTTTTCTGTATAGTTGGGTGAATGTTTTATAAAGTACGGAGTAATTAATTGTCCTCCAAATAGTTTCAAAAACTTATATCAAATACATGAAAAAGTATTTAAATAATGGATATAATGTAGTTTAGTTGTCATCCAAATTGTGTAAAAACTGATATCAAATACATGTAAAAGTATTTAAATTAAATCATACAGTAAAATATTGAATGTTACGGAGTATAAAGTAGTTTAGTTGTCCTCTGAACTGTGAAAAAACTAATATGAAATACATGTAGAAGTATTTAAATTAAATAATAAAGTAAAATAATGAAAAATATATTAAATGAAGGGAGTTATTGAACGGGCTGTTAAAGGGTTAAAAAATTAATGAGTCCATTGATATGACTTATTCTTTGCTATACAAAAGATTGATAAATTGTTAGAAATCTTTTTTTGAACTAACAATTACACAGACATACATGGAAAATTAAATTAGATTTCAGTTATATAATATATTTGATTTTGTTTACTTTGATTACATAAATAAATTATTTAAAAAGAATTTGGTATTAAATTGAAATAGAAAGTGGTTATTAAAAACTGATTTCCACGTAGGTAATAAAATGTCTGATAATTTGCCAAAATCATCAGTAAACCTGTGAATTTACTAGCCCGGACCGTATGTTGACGTTTTTGGGCGATGGAATAATAAAATGTTTGATAATTTGCAACTTTACTCGAAATTTACAGTAAACCTGTCATTTTCAGTTCAACATTTAAAATATTAGCAACTTTACTTAAAATTGACTTATGAATGATTTAATTTGTTTTCGGTGTTGTTATTGCCAAATTTGAAGCTCACGAAAGACAAAAATATGTCTTAATACATTATAAGAAATTTGGGAAGAACATATGGTAGGTTTCACAAAGAACAGTAAACTTAGCTTGAAGTTTCGGATGATGGACAAGTTAGATTTTGAGGCTGCTACATAACCTTCAATCGAACATATGATGCATATATGAGTAAACATATCACAAATAAGATCTGATGAAAATAGAAAATGATAGAAAACATGTATTTGAGCAAAAGACCTTACCGGTCAGTTAATATGTAAGCGTATTGTTATCGGATCTATAGGGGTGCTGGGTGCGAATTTGTGTTGTAGATCGGTCAAAAGATGTAGTCGGCGAAGAAACACGGTTTCGAGTATAATAGAATAAGCACGAGGAAGATGGTGTTGTCGGCAAGACGTCAATCTACTGCGAGAGGCCAACTTAATAGCTCATCACTTGGCAAGAACTGGACTGCTCTCTTCCAACAACAGCAAAGCGAGGACGACTTGGATGGTCTCACTATCTCTCGAGATCCGAGTTAGAGAGCGGAGAATCGATGGAAGATCACCGCCTCGATCTTGGGCCATGTGTATTTTGGCCCACAGTCTATTTCTTTTATTTTAACCTTCTATTGTAATACGAGTATTGTTTTGAAGCTAAACATTTATACTCTTCTTCTATCCTTTTTAATACTCCTTCGTCCCATTATTTCCGTAAATTAATGATCTATTACATGTGTTTTCTTTTAATTGTAACATTTTGTACTAATCACATATTCTATTTTAACTATATTTCATTTATTAATGTATTGTAAATTAATTTTTTTAAATATTATTAAAATCTTCTCATTTTAAAATTTCAAAATCTGAATTTTAAATTTTTTTACTAATAAGGAATGAAAGATATTAATGGTCAAATATGTGTGTTGCCAAACGTGAAAAAATGGACTGTTGCAATTAAAAAGGAACGGAGGAATTAAATTTTAGGCAGCTAATTAAGTAAAGTAATTTTGGTAAAAAGAAAAAATTCAGAAAAACAAAATATATAAAGTGCAAATAATTAAAAGGGGATAAGTTGATAGGGTGGACCGGACACTATCAAACTTGACATGTAATGAGTAGGAAAAAGAAATTTCAGTAAAAGTGTCATTGAATAGAGTAAATTATTTTCTAAAATAAAATTAGAACCTTTAAACGAGACACTAAAAAAGAAAAATGTGAATCTTTCAACGGGACGAAAGAAGTATATATTAGGTAAATGTTCTCCAACATTTATCACACCTCGCAAGGTTTTATTTTTTTCGGGATAAAAGAATCACATATATAAAATCATGACTTGCATAATCAATTTTAATGGTTATAATTTTTCTTAATATCGTAGTAATAATTACCGATTCAAATAAATATATAAACTTTAACGAAACAAAGAAAAATGTAAAGAACGATATCTGCAGATCTGCTAGATCTGTAGGCAGTGAATGTTGTACATACAGAACTACGTTTTGATTCTTTGAAAACGTTTATTTGATGAAATGTTTCGCTGTGGACGTGTAGTGGAGGGATGTATTCTTTCC